CTTCATCCCATACCGTAACCTATGCCCCCGGAAGGGACGTGGCTCGGCCACGCGTACAGTCAAACAGGTCCCCCGCCAAGGCATCGTCTGTTTCTCGCATGCAGCCCGGATGCGAGCCGGGACCGCAATTCCACCATCTTTCCCTCGGTCCAGTATAGCCACCACGGCCCACCTTCCGCCGGGCGCAACCCCAACATCCAGCTTCCCGTTGCACTACGAGGGTCTCCCCACGAGGCCGAAGCCGCAGTGCCGACCGTGTCTTGCAGCAGGCCGTCGAAAGAGCTGCCACACCGGCGCAGCTCCCTCGGTCGCACTGCCACTAACCAGCCCTGATCCACCATTGTAGTTCCTCCTCTTGTAGTGTGCTGTTTGTCAAGAGGGCAAAGCGCCTTGCAGGAGAGCCGGCTGCCCGTGTGCCTTCTTTAACGAACCCGTTACTCTCCGTCTCCTCGGTCGATTAACAACTCTTGCAATCGGAATCGTACAACAGCTTTCGCTCCGGTCCTCGTAGCTTCGTCGCACTGGTCGGTCGCGCCGCCAGACTCTTGATTCCGCTCCCCCAGAACCGGGCAGGGCCGGGGGTGCCCTGTCTCTTCTTCAGAACGTCGAAAGAGTCGGGTGGTATCCATGCCATATGCCCCTGACCTTAATTAGCCAACTCGCAGTCGGCGGGTCGAGTACCTACCTTACCCAGCCAAAATTGGAACGTAATTAACATACCATCCGGTCTCCTAGGCTGGCCAGGAGTGCTTGTGGTCCGGCCAGGGTAAGAAGCGGAATCAAATAACGAACCTGTAAGCCGGGCAGCCTCTTCAAGTGTCAATCCGGAACCCGGGAGCTGATCAAGCATGGCCCAACTATTCAGAAATCAGACGGCAGTTGCACTTGGACAGCGGCTTGAGCGAGTAGAGGGTGCGATTGCCGAGATCCAAAGCTCTCCTGCCAGCGCCTCGTCTGGCTCCGGGTCCAAGACGGCATTCTCTTCGTCGCCGGATGGGCAGTTCAGCGCAACCGAAAGCCGCCGGTCGTCTTCTTGCGATACTCCGGCTTTGTACCAGTGCAGGCGTCGGCCCGGTCGTCGACACAACGTCCACCGTACCAGCAGCAGCCTGAGCGACATGACCAGCTCGATCAGCGAGGGTTACTCTGGGCCCACGTCACTGCTGTCCTTGATTCACGACTTCACCGAGTTTGTGCTGGAGCCTGCTTGCGGCGCGCTGCTGCCGAGCGACGACACATTTCGGGGCGTGGCCGGTCACGTCCGCGAGAGACTCGGCCAGTTGGCGGCGGCCGTTCAAGACGAAGGGGCATTCACCGATGGGCGTGGCGAGCCATCACCCCCTTGGACCCCCCCGTTGGCCCTGTTGGAGGTCATGGTGGACACCTACTTCGATTCTGGTCAACCTCTGCCTGCCCATCTGGACAAAGCAGAGCTTCCGACGCCTGGTCGATGTCGCCCAGCGCATCGACAACGACGACCCGGTCCATCATCGCGCATACCTCGTCTGTTCCAACAATGTCATTCTCTTGACGCTCACCGCCAAATCTCTCCAGAGCGCAGAGAAGAATACGGCAGCTGATCAGGGGAACACCCAAGCCGCACTCCCTTCGATAGACCTTGATCTCGTCCAGTCGTTCGTAGCAAACGCCAAACGAGCCATCCAAACACCGGAGCTGTTGCTACGTCCTCGTCTGATCAATGTCCAGGCACTCCTTTCTCTGGTCTGTCACCGTGGCCTCCACCCAAACCCCACCTCTGACACGAAGAACTTGAGGAGCTGACAGAGGGGAGCTCGCCCATCAGTGCTTGGTGGCCCAGCAGTACCTGAACCCCCAGGCTCTCAGCCTGTTATTCAACCTCGCTGTCCATGTGGCCAAGTCTATCAGGTTGCACATGCCCGACTTCTCCCACAACGGGAAGCTCAACCCGGACGATGTCCAAGAGCGGCAGCAGACACTCCACAGCCTGTGCATCATGAAAGCCGCGATGCACTGGACAATGGGGTGGTCCCCAGACATATCGGACGGGTCGGACCTGGCCGCCGCCGCCAGCAGCCCCGGCATTGTCGACGCCTCCTCGCACATCATAGACGAAGCCGCAAGTCACCACCTAACGGCCCGAGTCAAACTGGCCCACATCGAGGAACGCGCTTATACCAGCCTCTACGCAAGGGAATCCCACCTCGCCGGTGGGGGATGCGGCGAGACCAGGCGGACCGTCTCCGACCTGGAGCAGACTCTGCAAGGCTGGTGGGACGAGCACGGAGGTGAGGTCACGGCCGAGGACGACAAATGCATGGACCCGAGCGAGAGCTACGTCGCAGAGCGCGTGCTTGCGTTCCGCTTAACCCGAATCCTCGTGCTGTGGCCTGTCACCGGCGACGACCCCGGCATGCGCGGCGCCCCGCGCCTTCTGGACGACGCGCGGTGCTGCTTGCGCTTGTTTCTTCGCTTGTGGAGGAGCCAGAACGATTTGGGTGCCTACGCTAATTTGACGTGGTATTTAAATAGATGCTCTCCTAAGCGCAGTACGAGCTCATACTTACTCCTTTCCTAGGCTTATCTGCCATTACCCCTTGGTGGGCGTCCTGCAGCTCGCAACACACAGGGCCGCCGCGAGTGGCGATAGCGGCGACTTGGAGCTGCTGCAGTCATTTATCAGCATGCTCCGCACCATGTCCAACCTGAGCGGGCCCTCCTCCCATGTGTCGAAGCTGTACGACTTCTCCCGCGCCGTAGCTGATTTCGCGGCTGCGGCCCAGAGCCGCTCTGTCATCAACGGACAGTACGACCTGTCACCCTGGACTACTCCACCAAGCGCGGTCGACTCGGTGCCATTCACCGGCGTGTCTTCGATGGCTAGCCTGCGGGCCGATGGGCTGACGGGTGGCATCATTAACAACCCCTTGGCTCCGGAAGGATCGATACGGGCTTCGGAGGGCTGTACAGTAGATCCCATAGCGCGAGTCCGCTTGACGGATACTCCAGAGTATGGTACGTTGTGTGATAGCATGTTGTGGGATGCCGACTCCCCGGAGTTCAAGGCCATCTTTCAGCAACTCACTGGTGAGTTCGCCGGGGGTTGGCTGGGGGGAGGAAACCCTGGCTTTACTATCGACTAGACTAGAAGCGAGACTACTAAATGGTCTTCTGTTGATACCCCCTGGTACCACTCAAATCTGCCACAATCCGTATTGGACGCGAGAGCCCAGATTAGTTCTGCTACTAGTAACACAGGGCCCTCACTAGATCGACGTACTCGGTCGCGCCCAGCGCCGTAAGGATATGCCACCAGCCGTGCAACTCCAGCGTCCATGCCCACGGGAGTCCCAGCTTGTGACGGATCGCCCGCAGTTGCAGATACATCTCCAAGTCCACATTCCAGACCAAGAAGGCACCGACGATCAACGCCGCTGCCTTCCTGAAACGGAGCACGAGCTTGACCTTCTCGCGCGTCGGTCTGGAGGAACCAGCGTAAATGATATACAGCGTGCGCGGCCAGATGAGGTTCACCATGATGGTAAATGTGGAAAAGTGGACGAGGATGTCGGCAGATCGGATGTAGAGAATCGCCATTGCCCCGGTTCCCAAAGCCACTGCGGCCGCGACTAGGGCGGAGACGGCCGGCGTCTGGCCGTGGCTGTACAGCGTCTGCAGGAGGCAGGCGCCGAGAAAGAGCATACTCATGTCGTCCAGGAACTGCGGCCCCTGGCGAAGCGTGGCGTGGTACCCCGTGGACGAGAAACCGACGAGGAAGAGGGCCACCGGGAGGGGGTCATGTTTTCGCATTCTGCCCGAGAATCGCCGGACTGCCAGGTATGCTAGCAAGGCGAGTCAGCTTTCTGCGACAAAGCACCTCGAACACTACCTAGGTAAGAAAGTAACCTAAGTGAAGGGGCGTACAATAGGCCAGGCTCGAGAGCGCATTGATGAGCTCGGCAATGTAGACGGTGACGGCGTAATCTCTTCGCAGAAGCTGGCGATGGGGGGGGGGGGCGCAGGTCAGCACGAGATCTGCTCCAAAACAACCTGCGTTTACTATTTAACGGCCCTAATTACGTACTTTGCTGCACTAGTCGGCGGGCTCCAAAGTCCCTTGTTGGCAAACGGGTCGCCATCAAAGTGGTGGTTGTGGTGCCCCATTTTGTTTAGCGGTCGCGTCCGGTGACTGAGGCGAAGGGTCCTAACAGAGCTGTTGTGGGAGGGAAGGACCGGTAAGGTATGGTTACGGTGCTTATTCGGTGTACGTCAGAGGAGGCTGTTGACTTGCTTCCAGGTTGGAAAGCAGTGACAGGACGTGGGGTTGAGTTTCCTCGGCATCAAATGTCGTGTTGAAGAACTTTACAGTTACACAAAAGGATGGCATGATATGGCTGAGACACGGGCTCCCGAGGCATCTTATATAAGTACAGCAAGTGAACCTGGAAGATACGTAAGGTGCGGGCGGGTTGGGTGGTTGGGGGGGGCGGGGTGGGTGTCGGTCTAGTTGTTGTCGGAACACCCCTCCCTTATTAACAGCGTGTTGAGTGTTGAGTGGCACTGTGGCCCAAAATTTCAAATCTTTTACTGTGGTGAGAGCCCTGCCAACGTTGTCAAAGGGCTGAGGAACCTCCGCCCACCTTTGTGACAAGCAGATGGACCGGAACGATACTAGTTGCGATTTACTCGCCAGCTCAACTTCCTTGACTGAATCCGTCACATCCATCATGTAAGACGATCTTATCGAGAGCCCGGTGAGCGCACGCCGTGTGTGCCGCCAGTCACGTTGGAGCCGGTGGCCGATATGCATTGCTGCGCCGCGTTGCCAAGCGGAAGCGGCCTGACAGGCTTTGACGCTGTCGAGCTGTCTAACATGTTCCTCTGTCCAACGCCTCAACCACTCGGACGCATTTATAATTCACACAGCCGGTTTATTGGAACGGTCAAGCCGCCACTGCATCCAGAACGAAATACATGTAGATATCCAATGCCACTACAGCCTGTTTTACCTACATAGGTAGGTATCTAACTGTGTCTCTTCATGCAGCCTCTGTCAACCGTAAGTGTTGAAACCCGTTTGCGCCACTTGCACCATTAGCAGTAGCGACACCATTACAGTTCTCACCAGCCGACATCCAAGAGTAGACTTGTCTCGCCGCGGTGGGTATTCTGACGCCCTTGGCCGACTTCTCAATGTCGACCATCTCCTCGGCCCACTGCGCGATGGCCTGGGCCAGCCCCTCGACCTCGGCCTCGGTGTTGGTGGCGTGGAAGACGAGGCGCACGCGGCTCGTCCCCTTGGGCACGACGGGGAAGTCGATGGGGAAGGCGCAGAACTTAGCGAGCTGCAGGTGGAAGACGAGGAAGTAGTTGTAGCGCTGGCGTGTCCAGACGGGCACGATCTGCGTCACAAACTCGCGCGACTCCCAGTCCTTGCTCAGCGGGATGTTGAGAATGCCCATCTCGTTCGCCTGCGCCCAGACGGGCTTGGCCACGATGTGCTTGAAGAAGTGCCGGACGAGGAGCTGGACCCGGTCCTGCGCCTGCTGCGTCATGCCGGACTTTAGCAGCGAGTAGGCCGCCCGTATGCCGGCCAACATCGGGAAAGACGGGGCGGTCGTGTAGATGATGGACCGAGCGTGGTTGATCAAGACGGTCCGGATAGTGTCGTTGGCCAGAATGACGGCTGTAATCATGTATATATATTATATATGTATGAGTTCCCTCATCGCTGAGTCAAAGAGAGATGGACAACATACCGCCCGAGGAGGCCAGCGCCTTGCCGAAAGTGTGCATCCGGATCGCAATTTCCTTCTCGAGACCCAGCGCGTTGACGAGCCCGGCGCCGCGGGGCCCCAATACGCCGGTGCTGTGGGCTTCGTCAATGACAAAGACGGCGTTGCCCCCGGGAAAGATGTCCTTGGCAGCGGCCACCAGCTCGCGCAGCGGGCAGACGTCGCCGTCCATGCTGTAGACGGACTCGACCGAGATGATAACGGAGCGCTCGCCGCGGCGGACCATGGGCTGGGATTCGCGCACGCTGAGCAGCGCCTGGTAAAAGTCGTCGACGTCGTTGTGACGGAACGACATACGGGTTAGGGCCAGCGACTCCTTGAGGCCGTCATGCACGCTCGCGTGGATCAGCTCGTCGTAGACGACGACGTCGCCGGGGCGCGGGATGGCCGAGAAGATGGCGCCGTTAGCCTCGTAGCCCGAGTTGACGATGATGGCGGCCTCGGCGCCGTGGAAGGCGGCCAGCTCACGCTCCACCGCCTCGATGTACGTGTTGTTGCCATCCAACAGGCGGGAGCCCGTGCTGCCCAGTTGGAAGCCCGGGTGCCGCGCGAGCTCGTCGAAGAAGGCCATGCGCAGCAGACCCGAGCTCGCCAGAGAAAGAAAGTCGTTGGACGAAAAATCAATGGCATCCCGCCGCGTTCGCAGCGTCACAAGGCTGTGCTCGGCTCGCCGAACGTCGAGCTCCTCCTCGAGGTTGCGGTAAAAGACCGATTCCGTCTTTGCTTTGGCAGTCGTTCCCCGAGGCTGCTGCGCCTTGATCCAGTCCGCGAGCATGAGGGCCGACATGTTGGCGGCTCAGTAGGAGTTCGAAATCTAAAAACAGAGGCGCAGCTTTGGTGATGCTTGGGTGTTGAAACAGCACTCCATGTTTGACAATTGTGTCCCTTCAGCCCTTGATATTTGTTCGCGTTCCCACGCGCCACCCATCTTCTTCCAAACCCCGTTTATCTCTACAGACTTCTCTCGTCAACGACATCGGAACCCGGTCTTCTTTGCTAATCCCGCTGGCACTCAGCAGTCACCATCCTTGTGTTTAGTTAGCACCCCCACATGACGCTTTCGGAGCTAGGGAGCGGCGCCTGGAACCCGTCAGCTCGGGGCACGGAACCCGACCCAAGCAAATGCCAAACGGGAAGAAACCAAGACCCGGCAGCCCCGTAGCCTATCCATTGCAACAGGCATTATACAGAGTTCAGTCCGTTCGAATCCCGCCCGCCTGAGGTAACCTGATCTTCATTGTGGGCTGATTTGTGTCAACATGGGCGATCTTAGCGGCAAGGTAGGTCCAGTCCATGTCATTGGCGTACCGCACCCCAGTCATATAGCAAAAAAAATAGGATATAAAAAATTGCTGATGAGGATGCCAACAGACGTACTTTATCACCGGAGGATCCGGTGGTTTGGGAAAGGGGCTGGCCAAGATCTTGTTTGCTAGAGGTTCGTCTCGTTCACCGTGAGGGCCTATTGGGACGTTCTTTGACACCAAACTGGCAAGGCGCCCACGTAACGCTGTTTGCGCGGAACGGAGAACGGCTCGCCAGCGCCAAAGAAGATGTCCTCAAACTGCGAGTGAACAAGAACCAAGAGTTGGACGCCGTGTCGGTCGATCTGGCGGATGGCTCGCAGGCATGTTTCCTTCCCCTTGATACCCCGCCTTAGGAATGTTCAGGGTCAAAGTGCCTCACTGATGGACATGAGGGGCCCAGGTCGAGCAAGTTTTTAGATGTCAGAAACGGATTCCCGACGACCTCTACTGCTCGACGGGGGGCGCCATATTGGAGAACGGATTCCTTGCGGATATAACGCCCGGTGACCTAAAGCAGGCCATAAACAACAACTACCTCACAGCCGTGTTTGCCGCGCAGGCAGCGTTGAGGATTTGGAGGGAGGCCGACCGGCAGGCTTGGCAACGGGGAGCAGAACCGGCGTCAGACCCGAGAGTACGTCGGGTGGTGTTTGTGAGCAGCACTGCCGCCTTCGTTGCGCTGCCTGGCTACGACGCATACACCCGTACGCAGGTGATGTCCAAGCACAGTTTACCCTTAAAGTAGGTATGGCAACGGGCGGCTAACGCTAAAAAAAAGCATCCAAATACGCGGTGCGCGCAATCGCCGACACCTTGAGATTGGAAGCTCTGCTGCTGTCCAACCCGGCATCGACTTACAAGATCCACTGCGCATTTCCCGGCACCTTCATCTCGCCTGCCCTTATTGCCGAGCAAGCGTCAAAACCAAGACTGACGAAGCAGATGGAGGGCACCGACATGGAAATCGAAGCGCTGACGAAGTGCTTCCCATCCAGCGACGAGATGGCGCAGCGTATCCTCGCCGGCGTCGAAAGGGGCTCCTTTGCCGTGTGCCCGGATTTCCAGTCCGGGCTGCTCCGTTCCGGCATTCTGGGTCCGTCGGCTCGACGGGGACCGGGCATCGTGGATACGCTGCTGGGATTACTGCTGGTGCTCCTCTGGCCGCTGGTGAACCGGTTTTGGTTCGAGAGGATGTGCAAAACAGGGCGCCTAGAGCTTCTTGAACGTCATGGTGTTCAGGTCGAAAAGAAGCATCAGGAATAGCAGTAGAGGAGGGAAGAGTCATCATCTATGTAATGCATGTTGCACCCAAAGGGACCATCTACCTCTATTAGACCTAGGCCACCTATGAAAATCTCTCAACTATCCCTCCCTTTGCTTTCGCAATGCATACGCAGCCATCACCAAATGGTGTTGCCACAACTGTTTGTGTGCAAAATGGATGGATGGTGGATCTGCCTCCAAAAGTTTTAGTACCATTCCAACAAAGAAAGAAACAGGTAGTAATGCAGGCGTGAAAACTATAATAATTAAACCAAGTCTAGATTGTTTGATTTCATATACCGTATCTTTCAATTAACATTGTCACTGGTTAGAGTTTAACTTCCGGTGCACTGCATATAGGGATTTGAGTGGCTGTAAAGTCTGGTGCCTACATGTCGCAGTACCTGTTGGCAGCTGCCTCTATGCAAGACTAAGGTACAGTAGGCAGTTCTTGAGCCTCTGCAGCCATCCTCCGCTTTGGGCACTTGCCTATTATCATCGAATCTGCATCGTTATCTCCCTCTCCAGTCACCACAACCTCACGGGAATGATATATCAGGATCCATGCCAAAAGTTGCCGCTTACCCATCCCGGTCACCGATCACGGGTTCCCCTATTCCCGTGCTGGCGCCAACTCCGCCTTGAAGTGACGGGTATGGCCATTCTTCACAACCCCGTTCTTCTGGTGAGAAGCGGCAGAGCTAGCGGGAGCCGCCTCAAACGACCGGACCTTGTCTGTCCTGCAACGTCCGGGTCCCCCTGTAGGTACTGTTCATCCATCGGTCCCACCAAGTAAAGTAAATTTCAAAGTTGGTCTGCCAAGGGGATAAATAAGCCAATGCCCTATCTGTATACGGGTACAAGAAAGAAAAACGGCACAGGAACACTGGACATACCTTCAAGCCCCAGCTCTGGTGGTGTACGTTGTGGTACACAACCCCGGCGCCCGTCCACCTGGCAAACATGACAAACGGGCTCCACGGGAGCTCGTAGGGGGCGTGGTCCTCGACCGTCTTGATGGTCACGAGCGAGAAGAAGGCGATTTGCTCGGCGCCTGTCAGACGGATGACCACCGAGGCGACCATGGCCCCCATGCCGTCAACAAAGATGCTCTCGGCCCAGTGGTTGTAAAGAGCGCCAAATGGGAACGGCGTGTATAGCTGAAGGTGCACCGAGTGGATGTTGCCTGTCACTCGCAAAATCAGACTTACGCCATCACAGAGCGAATGAAAGGCGGGAAAAAGGATGAAGAAGGAAAAGAAAAGGGTTGGGGAGAGGGAGGGAAGGAGGAAAAAGGGGGAAGGAAGAGGGGCCTACGGTAGAGCCAGGGAACCTGGTGCTCGAAGTAGTGACACCAAAACACCCAAGTGTCCAGGATCACCAGCGCCAGAAACTGCCGAGCAACGAGGTATGCCGCCCTCAGTGCCCATGAGCAGCAGTAGGCCATGCTCGACTCGGCCTGCCAGCCAAACAATTTCTCGAGGACGAAGTAGAACCACTCCAGCGTCCCTGCGCCACCCTGCTTCTCGACGGGCGGAGGGAACATCTCGCCCGCCACCAGGAGGAATGAGGTCGCTACGGCGTGGTAGATGACCATGTGGCGAAAGACAGCGGCCCTGGTTGCGAGGTTCTTCTTGCATTCTTCGTCGCTCGGCCGGATGCGGTGCTGGGCAAACAGACCAAGGGCGTCGATGGCGTTGTAGAATGCCGATGCCGCCCAGTATGCGACGGCCGGGGACGGAGCCACCCATTGCACGAGCGTTGGGGCTGTCGGGGACATTGTAGATGGCAGAGGTACTGGAACTCGCAACTAGGTAAGGCAGGCAGTAAGGAATGAAGAACAGTCAGGTGAGAGCGTGTGCAGCGGGACTCACTATCTTTACCTAGACCAGAATCACGGCGAAGTGTTACAGGGGCGGGCCATAGCCATAGTGCGCGAGAGGGCGTGTCGAAGGGCCCGTTGTTGATAGGTCATATTACGCGATGGGTGCTAATCGGGCTCGGAACCCGAAGTGGGAAGCGTGCTTGCGGCACGGATGTTCCGGGGCGGGGCCCGTCCCGTCAGCAGCCGACCCGGGACCCGGGAATGGACTCCCAACACTCGACGAACCCCAGTCAGGGCAACAGTACGGTAGGACGTCATTCAGGGAAGTACCTAGGTATCTAGCCGCGACAGCAATAGGACCTTAGGCCGGGAGGAATGGCCGGACCTATCACCAAGTTGCACCAGGGCTTACGGTGAGGAGGGTTTTCTGATTGTCCCACGGCTCTCATCGCGCTACAATAAGAGATGGCAAGTCCAGCAAAAGCCGTCGTGATATCTCTCCCCTTTGACAGCTAGCAACGGCGTACCTCCCAACTTACTATATACCCAAAGGTACCATAAGACACCAGCATACAGAACGAACAACCATGGGCGACTATGCTACTGCCAACGGCCACGGCAACGGCATTGCTGCTGGGCAGTACTACCATGCCCAAGCCATCGAGAGCTCTCACGGCAACGGCACAAACGGCACAAACGGCAAAAACGGGATCACTTACCTCAACGGCCACGTCAACGGCGCACGGAACTTGAATGGCGTCTACAACACCACCACCAACGGTAGCTCTGGGTCCGTGTCCAGCAACACACGCACCGACGACGACGACGACGACGACAACTTCCAGGTAGCAATCTGCGGGATGGCGCTGCGCCTGCCAGGGGGGCTCTCGACGCCCACACAGCTCTGGGACTTTCTGCTGGCCAAGGGCGACGCTCGCACGCGCGTGCCCGAGTCGCGCTACAACGTGTCGGCGTACTACTCGGCCACGGCCAAGCCAGGCACGGTCAAGACGCAGCACGGATACTTTCTCGACGATGCCAGCATCAACCTCGCCGGGCTCGACGCGTCCTTCTTCAGCATCCCGCGTGCCGAGCTCGAGCGCGCCGACCCGCACCACCGGCAGATGCTCGAGGTGGCGCGCGAGGCCCTGGACGACGCCGGCGAGGTGGCCTTCCGCGGCTCCCTCACGGGCTGCTACATGGGCAGCTTCGGCGAGGACTGGTGCGAGATGTTTGCCAAGGACTCGCAGCAGCACGGCCTGTACCGTGTCAGTGGCTATGGAGACTTCATGCTCTCGGACCGCGTGTCGTACGAGATGGACCTCCGGGGCCCCAGCATGACCATCCGGACGGGCTGCTCGGCCGCCCTGGTGGGGCTGCACGAGGCCTGCCAGGCATTGCGCCGCGGCGACTGCACCGCGGCCATCGTGGGCGGCGCCAACCTGATCCTCGCACCGGGCATGACGGCGGCCATGTCCGAACAGGGCGTGCTCTCCCCGGAGGGCTCGTGCAAGACCTTTCCGGCCGACGCCGACGGCTACGCCCGCGGCGAGGCCATCACGGCCCTGTACATCAAGCCGCTGCAGGCGGCCATCCGGGACGGGAACCCCGTGCGCGCCGTCATCCGGGCCACGGCGACCAACAGCGATGGCCGGACGCCGGGCATCTCGTGCCCCAGCGCCGACAGCCACGAGGCCATGATAAGGCGCGCGTACAAGGTGGCCAGGATCCGCGACTACTCGCAGACGGCCTTCGTCGAGTGCCACGGCACCGGAACGCCCATCGGCGACCCGATCGAGGCGGACGCCGTCGGCCGCGTCTTTGGCGACCACGGCGTCTATATCGGGTCCGTCAAGCCCAACCTCGGCCACTCTGAGGGCGCCTCGGGCCTGGCATCCTTGATCAAGGTGGTCCTGGCCCTGGAGAACCAGACAATCCCGCCCAACATCAAATTCAACACGCCCAACCCGGCCATCCCGTTCCAGGCGAAGAAGCTGACGGTGCCCGTGGACCCAACCCCCTGGCCCAAGGCGCGCCTCGAGCGGGCTGGCGTCAGCGCGTTTGGTATTGGCGGCGCCAACGGGCACGTCATCCTCGACTCGGCGCGCCTCTGGCTCCCCAAAGTCAGCGTCGCGCCCGACGGTAATAATAGTACGGAGCCGGAATCGGAGGTCGGGCGCCCAACGCTGTTGGTATGCTCGGCCAACTCGGCCGAGTCGCTCAAGAAAACCGTCGACAACCACCAGGCCTTTGTCGCCAAGCATCCGGAGCGGATCAAGGACGTGGCGTACACATTGGCCACCAGGCGCGAGCACCTTCCGCATCGTGCCTATATGGTAACCAACAGCGGAAGCACTGCGGGCACTATATACCCTGCTGGAAAAGTGGCGCCTACAGGCTCGCCAGCCGTGGTCATGGTCTTCACGGGCCAGGGCGCGCAGTGGCCGACGACGGGCAAGGAGTTGCTGCAGTCCAACGCCGTCTTCCGCCGCACCGTCAGGGCCCTGAACGAGCACCTACGGACGGTACCGGATGCACCGAGCTGGACCATCGAGGAGGAGCTGCTTAAGCCGGGCCCCAAGAGCCGGCTCGACAGGGCTGAGATTTCGCAGCCCCTGTGCACCGCTGTCCAGATTGCCCTGGTTGATGTGCTGTCGGCCATTGGCGTGGAGGCAGCCGCTACTGTTGGCCATTCCAGCGGTGAAATCGCCGCAGCCTACGCCGCCGGTGCCTTAACAGCGGCCGAGGCCATCTGCACCGCGTGGCGCCGTGGCGCCATCACCACCACACAGTCGCGCAAGGGTGTCATGGCAGCCATTGGCATGGGGGTGGCCGATGTCAAGCCCTTCCTCGTGCCCAACGTGACGGTCGCCTGCGACAACTCGCCCAAGAGCGTCACACTATCGGGAGACGCCAGCGAGGTGGGGGATGTTGTCTCGCGCATCCAGAAGGCGCGCCCCGACGTGCTGGCGCGCATGCTCAAGGTGGACAAAGCTTACCATTTGCACCACATGGTCGAGATCGGCGAGGCCTACTACGCCGCCATCCGCAAGGACATTGTCGGCAGGCGCCCAACTAAGCCCTTCTTCTCTAGCGTCACCGGCTCGCTCCTCGGCGAGGGCAAGGTATTGGACGCAAGGTACTGGCAGACCAACCTCGAGTCGCGCGTGCTGTTCCACTCGGCAGCCGCCAGCATCATTGACCACGCCGTCGGGCAGAACGCCATGTTCCTGGAATTGGGCCCGCACTCGGCCCTGTCCGGCCCGCTGCGCCAGATCTTGAACCACAAGTCGAGCTCAGCGCCGTACGCGGCCGCCATGCTTCGCGGCAAGGACTGCGTCGAGTCGCTGCTCATCGCTGTCGGTAAGCTCTTCACGCTAGGCGTGCCTATAGACTTCCACGCGCTGATGGGCAAGGGCGTGTGCCTGCCGGATCTCCCGCGCTACCCCTGGAACCACCAGGACAGCTACTGGGGTGAAACGCGGCTCTCGAGGGAATGGCGCCTTCGAAGATTTCCCCACCACGATCTCCTTGGGGTCAAGCTGCCCGAGAGCACCGAGCTCGAGCCCAGCTGGCGCAACGTCCTGCACATCCAGAACGCTAGCTGGCTGCGCGACCACCTTGTCGATGATGATATCGTCTTTCCCTGCGCCGCCTACATTGGCATGGTCGGCGAGGCCTTCCGGCAGATATCGGGCGTGCAGGAAGGCTTTTCGGTGCGCCATCTTATCATCAGCGCCGCGCTGGTGCTTACCGAGGGCAAGCCGGTCGAGATGATCACGACGCTGCGGCCACGGCGCCTTACTGATCAGCTCGATAGCAAGTGGTGGGAGTTCAGTATCGCCTCACACAACGGGCACACATGGGCGAAGCACTGCACCGGCGAAGCTGGGCCGGCAGGCCAGGAGGAAGCGTCGAAGCGGACTGCTGCAAAAACCACGGAGCCCCTCGCCCGCAGCGTCGACAAGGCGCGGTGCTACGACACACTGCGGCGCGCCGGCCTGCACTACGGCCCCAGCTTCCAAACACTCGACGACATCCGATCCGGCACGCTTGAGACGTCAGCGACAGCCAGGGTTGTCAACAACAAGAATGGCGATGAGGCCAACTACCACCTACACCCGAGCATCATTGGCGCTTTTCTGCAGCTGCTCAGCGTCGCTGCTACAAAGGGGTACACAACAGGGAACCTTCATCAAGGTGGTGCCAACCAGGATCGCCGAGCTGACTGTGTACCGCACCGCCGAGGACGTCAATGTGCAGGCCACGGCGGTACCCAGCCGCCGCGGCGACCTTGTCGGAAGCGGTGAGATTACTAGCGCTGATGGCGGGAGGCAAGTTTTGCATATGGTAGAGGCGCACATGTCGGCTATCGACGAGGGCGACCGGACCGAGACGGGCGGAACACCCTCGACGGCGCGCTACGTCTGGGGGCCACACATTGACTTCCTGAATGCGGCCGACCTCATCGCGCCGTCCGTCAACCGTGCCCTCTACACGCCCATACTGGACGAGCTGACGGGGCTGTGCCTCGTCTACTCGCACCGCCAGCTGGCCGACCTACAGACGGCGCTGCCCCACATGAGCAAGTTTCGCGAGTGGCTGGGCCGCCAGCTGCAGGTCATGGACGTGGCGGGCGTCCTGGCTATGGACGATACAGCCATCTTCGACCATGCTGTTGTGTTGGTTCAACAACTCTCGGGCACGCCGGCGTCCGAAGCCGCCATCGGCATGTACAAGGTCCTGACCGGCATCACAGGCATCTTCACAGGCGCGACGGATGCACTCCAAATCCTGCTGGCCGACGACACCCTTGCATAAATTGACAGCTTCACTGACGAATGCGACCGCTCGCGCTTCCTTGGCCACCTCGCGCACACCAAGCCAAATCTGCGCGTCCTCGAGATCGGCGCGGGCACGGACGCGTCCACGGCCAGCCTGATCAAGAAGAGCCTGATCCTGCCCTCGGGGCAGGTTCTCTATTCCAAGTACACCTTCACCGACATTTCGTCGGGCTTCTTCGTCGCGGCCAAAGAGCGCCTCAAGGGCCTCCCCAACATCGAGTACGCCACGCTCGACATCAGCAAGGACCCCGACGACCAAGGCTTCGAGGGCAGTCGGTACGACCTCGTCATCGCAACAAACGTCCTCCACGCCACCAGCACCCTCCGCGACAGCCTGCGCCACGTGCGCCACCTGCTTGCGCCCAGGGGGGGGCTCCTGCTGCAAGAGCTGTGCCCATCGTCCAGGTGGGTCAATTACATCTACGGCACCCTGCCGGGCTGGTGGTGCGGTGAGCTCGACGGGCGCATCGACGAGCCGTATGTCGATCCAGCGCGCTGGGAGGCCGAGATGGTGGCGGCCGGGTTTGAGGGGCTCGACGCGGTCGTGCTCGACTCGTCGGAACCGTTCCAGCTCAACGCCATCATGGTGACAAAACCGGCCAGCACGCCCAAGGTGGCAGAAAAAAAGAGAATCACGCTATTATCCTTGCCTGGAGACCAGGATGACCATAGCGCGGCCCAGCTCGAGGCGCAGCTGCGGAGCAGAGGATACTCGGTGAACCCACGCCACCCGGGCGAGACCCTGCCCGCAGGCCAGGACGTCGTCTCCCTGCTGGACCTAGACCGTCCATACTTGGAGAACATGGATGCGGCGAGCTCGACGCCTTCAAGGGCATCTTCACCGAGGCTGGCGCCAAGGGCGCGGGCGTGCTTTGGGTCACACGGCTCTCGCAGGCGCAGTCGCAAGACCCGCGTTGGGCGCAAACCATTGGCACCGCCCGGACGATTCGCTCCGAGCTCATGGTGGACGTGGCGACACTCGAGGTGGATGACTTTGCCGCGTCCATAAAACAGATCGCCGACGTGTTCGAGGCGTTCTGGGCGCGGGAACAAGACGACGGGACGCTCAGGCCCGATTTCGAGTATGCCATCATCGACGGCGTGGTCCATGTCGGGAGACTCTATCCGTTTGCCCCCGCAGACGAGCTCCTGGTCGAGGATATCAATGACAGGTTCGTTCTCGGCACCAGCAGGCGTGGCCGCCTGGCGGCGCTGGAGTGGAGACGACGCCTGGTGCAGACCCTGAAGGCAGATGAGGTCGAAATCGAGACGTACGCCCTGGGCCTGAACTTCCGAGACATTATGAGCGCCATGGGTCTCATGCAAACTTCCGAGGACGGTTTCGGCCTCGAGGGATCGGGCGTGGTGGTCCGTCTCGGACCTGGCGTGAAGGATCTCTCGGTCGGCGACAAGGTGTTTTTCATGGGCCGCAACTGCTGCTCCACCCACGTCACCGTACCAGAGAGCATGTGCGAGAAGCTGGTGGACGGCCTCTCGTTTGTGGACGCTGCCACAATGCCGACCGTCTTTATCACGGTCCTGTATTCGCTATTCAACGTAGGTGGTCTGCGGAAGGGTCAGTCCATCCTCATCCACAGCGCCTGCGGCGGTGTCGGCATCGCCGCCATCCAGCTCGCTCGCATGGCGGGAGCCGAGATATACACCACTGTCGGCAGCGAGGACAAGGTTCAGCACCTCATGACGAACTTTGGCATCCCCCGGAACCGCATCTTCCACTCGCGAAACGCCAGCTTCGTCGAGGATGTCATGCGCGAGCCAGCCGGTAAGGGAGTCGACATGGCCCTGAACTCGCTCTCCGGAGAGCTGCTGCATGCTACCTGGCGGCGCGTTGCCGAATTCGGCAAGATGGTGGAGCTTGGTAAGAGAGACATTATCGGGGCCGCCAAGTTGGACATGGATGTCTTCCTGGCCAACCGAAGCTACTGCTGTGTCGACGTCGACCAGCTGTGCTTCAAGAAGCCGGATATGTGCAAAGAGTAAGCCCACTGACCACTGCTTTGGGGAGAGATGAATCGTAACGGACTGAGCTGACAATCCTAGATTGATGCAATCCATCATCGGACTCTTCCGGGACGGACATATCAAGCCGATTGGGCCGACAACCGTCTTTGCGGCATCCGCCATAGAGGACCTTCCGCTACATGCAGAAGGGGTCGCACATCGGTAAAATCGTCATTCAGGTGAGGGAAGACTCGGCTTCCCGTGTGGGGAAGCATCACAACATCCCCCCTCCCGCAGGCCGACCCAGGACGCTCGAGCTGGATGGCTCGGCCTCTTACCTCCTTGCCGGCGGTCTCGGCGGGCTCGGCCGGGCGGTGTCGCGGTACATGGTGGAGCACGGCGCTCGGCGCTTGATCTACCTAAGCCGCAGCGGTGGTACCAAGGCAGAGGACCAGGCTCTTGTGCGCGAGCTTCAGAGCATGGGTTGCGAGGTGCTCATCGTCCAGGGCAGCGTCGCGGACGAGGCCGACGTCTACCGTGCGATACAGCTGGCGCCGAACCTCAAGAGCGTCATCAACTTATCCATGGCCCTCCACGACCAAGCCTTCACGCGCATGACGGTGGATGAATGGAACGGCGCCGTCCGCCCCAAGGTGCAAGGCACCTGGCATCTGCACAACGCCAGCGTCGCGGCGGGTGCTACGCTCGACTTCTTTGTCCTCTTCTCGTCGCTCTCCGGCATCATCGGCCAGCCGGGGCAAGCCAATTACGCCGGCGCCAACACGTTCCTCGATGCCTTTGTCCAGTTCCGCAATCGGCTGGGCCTGGCGGCGTCTGCCATTGACATTGGGGGTGTCGAGGACGCCGGCTTCATCTCGCAGAACGAAGAGCTGCTGCGCAAGATCAAGACTACGATGGCGTACAGCGTCCGCGAGGTCGAGCTGTTGGAGGCCATGCGGGCGACCATGATGCTGTCGTCTCTCCCCGCGACGACAACCTCGCCGGGCCCGGTTGGTAGCGCCTTCGTGTCCCGCAACACCTTCGTCCTGGGGCTTGGCACGCACACGCCGCTGGCCGAGAGCCGAGCTATCTGGCGCGCAGACCGCCGCATGGCCGTTTACCACAACAGGGCCGTCAAGGGCTCCTCCGACTCGCGCGCGTCGGGCAGCAGCGACGGGCTCAAAGCGTTCCTTTCCAGTGTGCGGGCAGACTCTCGTGTGCTGAAGACGGCCGACGCGAAGCGCACGCTGTCGCTGGAAATTGGCAAGCGCGTATTCGACCTCCTGCTGCGGCCAGCGGACGACTTGGAGGCGTCCATGGCCGTGCCTCTGGCTCATCTCGGTATGGACTCGCTTGTCGCTATTGAGATGCGTACCTGGTGGCGCCAGGCGCTAGGCTTCGACATTACCGTGCTCGAAATGCTAGGTTTGGGCTCACTGGGCGCGCTTGGCACCCATGCCGTAGAAGGGCTGCTTCGAGCTGCCGAGAGGAATGGGGCGTAATTGAGTGGATTTGCCACGCTGGTTGACGCAGTAGCTACAACGGCGGCATTGGAAGTTACAAAGTGTAAAATCATTGATGGTCACAGTTGAGTGCGGGTGACGGGATTAATGAGGTACAATCGGAGATGTATGGTATAGATAAGAAATACTGCTGGACATGGCAGAGTCAACGGAGGAAGCTGGTGATCATCTCACAAGCAGGGCTTTTGAACCCAGGGACCTCCAACAACCTTGCAATGCCTGATTGATCGTGTTTTCGTCCCACTTGTCAAATTGACCTCCCAATCAGTGCCTGTGGCGTCCGAAAACGGGTTTAGACCCGGAATATGGTTTCCGCGATCCGGCTTGCTGGGCTGTGCTATCACAATAGAGAACTCTCTACGGATCCGTACATTTGCGGTATATAGAGTAACGTACATGATAAGCGAGCGGAGACAGGTTCCTTTCCCTGACACCCCTTGCAACTGGACAATCCACGGATCGCTTGCGTGCCCTGCGGAATTATTCCCGGTGAGCAGCGGCATTTTCGCAGATTGTCTGGCCCCGGCCGTTTTAGCCTAAACCGGCTGGCGCAAGCCCTAACGGCCCCAAAATCTAGGGCTGCCACATGGCGGGGGCTCGCCAATCCTGCTGAGAAGCTTGTCAAAACACAAGCGTCAACCTGTTGCAGAAAACTTGAAAGGAAAACCTGCATCAACATTGGAGCGGTAAATGATGCAGATCTGAGTATAGTGCCTGAAGCTAACACTGCCTCTTCAGATACAGGGAGATCCCCACACTCTTCATCGACGAATGCGATTCCCAATAATGGCGATCGCCACTCACAACGATTTCCAACCCATCATAAACCAGGCGAGAAACCCGCTGCCATACAATACCAAGTTCCTCTATAACCCAGCCCCCCTTGCGCGTCTCATCAGAGCCAAGCGAAGGAGGCTCGCTCCTTTTCTGGTAATGCTGTCCGCGTACGGAGCAGGTCGATAACCTTCCTGGAAACCTGAACTTCCATGAGAAAGAGGAGGAACTGGCATTTTAAAAAAAATGACTTGTCAGGACTCTATACTCGGCACGTCCGCGGAACGTTACATGGGGTTTGGCATGGTGCGACAGGCTCCACTACAGTACAACATCCAACGGCCTCCCTTCCCAGCCACTCGGTAGCTGAGAAACTGCCGTTAGTCATTACGGGTTTCCCAGTCGGAATCTGGACACTCGCTCTCGGGTACCATTCCCTGCAAAACCACACAAGCCCGGACAGGCCTCAGCCTACGTCCAATTGGAGCTACCTTGCCGCAGGTCACCGACGGTCGTTAATAACTCATCGATTTTTCTACGGGATATGAGACTCCTGGATAATGTCGATCTCCCTCTCTCTGCCCCGCACTCGGCCTTGAGATCAACGACGTCTTTGCTCTCCTGTCAGCAAACCCCTCACATTCCAAGGTGGAGGCCTGCTGTAAGACATGCGGGCACCCTTGTTGGCGCAACTCGGAACTCGGAACAGTTGCACCACATATGCAGTCGGCGCCGAACATTGTGCCGACACAACTGTCACTGAACAGGGCCGGCGGTTGCATCGAGGTGTCGTTCCTAATAAGTTCTCGACACTCCTTCGTCATTGCGTAGCATCAACAACGATGCCCGGCTCTCACTCGCGGACACCTTTCTAAAACAAGTCCCCCATCACCGGCTGCGTGTGTTTGTATCGGAAAGACCTCACATGCCTGCCTGGTGGCTCCATCTGACGACCCACTTTGACCCCTGAGCTTTCCATCAGGAACTTCAACCGCGGAGCCGTTCTCAGGGCCTCGGCCAGTCAACGACCGTCTTTGTGAAACCGGCCCCTTTACGCTCCACCCGTCAATGACCCCTTTGACCGGCTCTGATCGCGTTGAAGCAACGAGATTGTGAGCAGTGACCCCATATGCCCTCTTTAGGCAGGCCGCAATCCCGCTCGCCATCCCTCTGCTCCGCCAACGACCAGAGATCCGTCGACCCCTCGTCTCTTTCCCATGTTGACATGGTGCCATTGCCGTGGAACCTGGGGCCGGGTTGCGGCCTCCATCCTGCGGCGCCACTGGCACCGGGCCGCCTAAATACATGGTGTGCCCGACCGTCCGCCCCGTAGGGCTCGGTGACAAGTCGTCTCGGTCTCCGCCCTCTTCCTGCTCCCAAGTGCTCGGCTGCCGGACTGCCGAACGAGGCTGCGATCGCTTCGACCGTGAATGGTGACATAACATGCGATCCGTAGTGAACACATGCGCCATTCTTGGCTTGTGTCTGTTTCCTCTGGGCCATGCCTCCGCAGCAGCCGGCTCGATCTCGGTCGAGGACGGATACGCGGTACTCCCCAGTTGCGCAGTACGTGCTGCGAACGTCCTCGAATGGGCCAGCAAACTGACATATCCACCAGCAAACCTGCTTCGTGACGGCGCTGAGCCAGTCGACCTGTTCCCTGGCCGACGCCGCCTGTCTTTGCAATGATGACCAGTTCAACAATGTGGCTACCGCCTGCATCACTTCGGGCTGCACGGTCAAAGAGTCCCTTAGTATGGTCCCCTGGAACGCGACGGCTTCGCCAATGGCCAGAAACTGATTTCAGACAGCCGCCAAGAACCTCACCTCCCACATGTGCGGGCTCCCCGTGGAGGGCGACAGCAGTCTTATCCCGCTGTACTCCGTCTTTCTCGGTCTTGCTGGCCTGGCCATGATACTTCGGATTGCAGCACGAGTCCTCACTCGCGCCTACTTCTGGTGGGACGACTTTGCCAACTTCTTTGGATTCGTATGATTTCCCTGTGTCCCCTCATATCTCACCACGTTCTCGACTGACACAACTCCCAGATCGGCTCTGCGACGTTCACTGGCTTCAACATCAAAGGTGCGCTCTTGCCGCCTGCCATTCTGCTACTGCTCGACGACCATGACTAACCCGATTCCCTGTAGCCATCAGCATTGGGCAGTCTTTCGACATCTGGTTTGTCCCTTTCGACAACATTACCGGCGTCCTCAGGGTGAGACTGGCGGAGCCCAACCAATCCCCTCAACCAACCACCTCAACCACCTCCCGACAGCACTGACATGTGCCCTGCAGATTTTCTACGCGGAAATGCTGCTCTACACCATTACGCGCTTCTTCGTGCGCGCCTCGATCATCCTCTTCTACATGCGCGTCTTCCCAGCGACGAACAACAGCAAGCTCGGCCGCGTTGTTCAATACACCATGATCTTCAACGTCGTCTACAACGTCAGCTTCCTGTTCGCCGTCATCTTCCAGTGTTACCCCGTGTCGGATTTCTGGACGTCGTGGGAGGGCGAACATGAGGGGCATTGCGGGAATGCCAACATCCTCGCCTGGGTAGCCGCCGCGACGGGCATCGTCTATGACCTTTGGCTGCTGGCGTTGCCGTTCTCGCAGCTGCTGGCGCTGGACCTGCACTGGAAGAAGAAGCTAATGGGAGGGATGATGTTTTTCGTTGGTGTTGCGTGCGTTCCTGCCCCAATATTCCTCCCTTTTTTCTCCTGCAGTCAAAATGAGGAGTATGGGTGCTGACCAAATTGATAGTGTCATGATCATCAGCTTGATCCGACTCAAAACCATCAACGAGTTCACCCGCACCGTCAACCCAACCAGTACGAAACCCCTCCGTCCCCCCAACCGCCTGGGGACATTCCACCTGTGTCTCTATCCGTTTCCGTTCTCTTTACTTCGAACTGACCCAATCCTTCGTAATCTAGAGGACATAGTCCAAGTATGCCTCTGGTCCGGCATCGAACTCGACGTCGGCGTCATCTGCCCCTGCCTGCCCTCCTTCCGCCTGCTGCTGCGCCGGCTGCTGCCCCGCGTGCTCGGCACGTCGGGGCGGTACGAGCTCGGTCCCGTATCCAACCCGACAGGAGCTACAAGGAGCGGGATGCGGAGGAGTTTAGGAGCTTTCAATGCTCCGAACGTGGGAGTCCACAGCGGTGCCGATGGCGAAGCAGGGGAGATCTGGGCAGGGAAGACCCAGGAGATGGGGAATACGGTTGTTGTCAAGTACGGGAGTGGGGTGTCGAACTTGAATGATGGCGGGAGTGGGAGTTTTGAAAGTGTGAAGGGGCTGGTGGATGTGGGGAGAGCTAGATGACGAGGATGGAAACAGAGCCCACTTCTGCAGTCTCCTACGATTGTTTCTTACCGTAAACCTCGGCATTGACATTCCCACTCTTCGTCCACCTTTACCTTTCACTTTCTTGTTCTTTAGCTTGTTTAGTTACTTCTCCCTTTTCGTGCTTTTTCTTCTTATCTTTCTTCTTTCTGTTCCTGTTCCTTTCTTCATTTATCCTCTTTTTCTTTTTGATTCATTTCCCCTCTTTCCTTCGTCTTTATAACTTCTATTTATCTTCCTTTTCCTTGCTGTCTTACTTATGATCTTCGTTTTCTGTACTTCTCCGTTCTCTTCATTCTCTTGTTTTCTTGTTGCTTCTTTTGGCTACTTTCCCCTTCTCCTTCACTTCCGTCATAAGACTCGCTGACCAATCAGGTAACCAGGACTGGATCATATGAGGCAGGGAGGGCGAGATGATGATGGCTTCCTTTTGGCAGCCGGGGTTTGCGTCGATTTTCTGTGTTGTCTTTGTGTCGACTGAACTGCAGGGCACTGACAATGACACCACGCCGATAGGTTCACCTCCGCCATTCAGCGGCCGCATCTGCCTGAGTCCTTCCAGGTTCCGTCCCAACGAACGGTTGATGGCCCGAGCAAGCCGGTCCGTGGGTGGGGAGGTCCGGGCTTGCGCTCCGTCGCGGGGTCGAACTCATCCACTCCCCCCAATTCGTATCATCCACCAACTTTTCTGTCACCACCTAGCAACTCCGAACAACTCATGTGACCTCGCCGAGCCCGGTCACCATGGTCGTCATCAACCTAGGCTACACCGCCCCGGTCAACCCGCCGGGCGCCTCCCCCGTCCTCACCCCCTCCCAAGTCTGGACCGGCCTGCAGTACAAAGTCCGCCGACCCGAGCGCTTCGTACCGCTCATCACAGGCTGCACCGTCGTTTCCGAAACCTCCTCCGACATGAAAAACACCGACGGCGCGGCAGCCACTATCACGCGCCTGGTCATCTTCAAGCCCGGCAGCGGACCCGGCAACGGAGAGCCCGTCAGGGAGGTGTGCAAGTTGTATCCGCCGTGCCGGATTGATTTCCTGCAGGATGACGGGACCACGATCGGGAACTATGTCACGTTTGGGGAACATGAGGAGGTGATGATGACGTATGTGTTTCAGTGGAGGGCGGATGCGGTCGAGGAGGGGAGTGAGGAGCATAGGCGGTTGGAGGACAAGTATCGGCAGGTGAGTTACTCGGTCATGTTGGCTCGGCTTTCTGTTGGTGAGGGGTATGGCTGATGAGGCTTGCGCGGGGAATAGATTGCCAAGGTTGCTGTTGAGGGCAGCATTCAGACTATTAGGAAGATTTTTGGCGGGGAGATGAAGATGGATTGAGAAGGCGGGAGTGAGTTGAACGCTAATAATGCATGACTTTTTATGGGCTGGGCCTGGGCTACGAGGACATGCACGACCGGAGACTGGAGTCAGAAACAGGGAGTTCCTGACACTCTCGATGTCAAGTGTGCCGACTTTTGCGGGTTGCAGCACCGAGAATGAGGTAAATAGTGGTATTCAGGCACCTAACCAAGCAGAGGTGACAAGCTCTATTGTCCAAAGTCTGGAGTCAGTGCTCATCGCCATCCGTGAGCATGTATCTTCTGAATCCACCCCCCGGTTCTCGAGTGACCGTTACTCCGAATCCTAAACCCCCCAATCATGGGGCGAGTGCAGCAGGGTCATGCCGCTGTCAGCAAGCATCCTGGCCACGCACAGCGTTCTGTTCTGGCCGTTGGAGGTCCGCACCATGTTCCAAAACCGTGGCTGCCCACTCAGCCCCAAGTCTGCTGGAAATGACTTGCCATCTGTGGTCTGCAATTGATGGTTTCCAACCAAAACTGGGGAGAACCGCCTAAGAGCCCCGGGTCGCTCGATATTCTGACCAGGGTCGAAGTTGTCGGAGAGAAACCACCATGCAGAATCGCCGCACAGCTTGGGCGTTCTGGAAGAACCATTGTCTTTGGCATCAAATTTGTGCCGGTCTTCTGCTCCGTTTCCGCGGCTGGTGGTGCTTAGAATCGGCCAACCCTTCTCCTCGTCTATGCTTACGTCGACGGTCACTGTGAGGTTCGACTTGGAGCTCTCAAATTTGGCGAATGTTCTTGCCCGGATGTTACTGGTCAGCATGAGGTTCTAGGAAATCGTGGTTTGCAGAGCCGTGGCGTGACATTCAAAGTAGGACTGGACTTACAGTTGTGCGCGAGTGGGCGAGAGCACTTCGATTCGCGTCCGAAAAATGTCTGAGGAGTTGAGGCCTAAATTCATGGCAAAGGAATCAGTCAGGTATTACCGCCTGAACTAGCACGACCGAGTGGTTGACATACCAAAGTGATAGGCATTCGATAGAGGGGCCCAGCTAAACTGGGGACTAAGCTGGAAAACCGGTTCTGCTGTGTATCCTTGACGCGCTCCCTTTCCATCGTAAGCCCAGAGGCCAGCAAAGAGACGAGTCGAGCAGTCATTGTCGCAGCAAAGAGCCACGCCGGCAAGGACGTAAGGTGCCTCGGGTTCCGATTCCTTCCCACCTGGGGCTACATCTGGGATCGTGAACGTTGCCTCGATCGACGAAAAACTGTCAATATCTGGAAAGTCTGAGCTCTGCATGCTAAGCCCGCATGCGTCCATGCGGTCTCTGTTGGCGAAAACGGCCATAGGACTGCATCCTGTGAGAAGAATGAGCAGCCTGAGAGCTTTGTCGACGATCCGGAGACGTGACATTTCTAAGCATGAAGAAAAGCACTTCTCTGAGTGAAAAGAACGGTGCCCTGAGAATACGAGGTGTGAGTACTAGACCACCGAGGTCGATAGTGCTGATAGTTGGGCGGTGTGGTAGGGAAGGGGCCAAGTGGAACAAACGAGAAGTGAGTTGCCATGCTGCTTATATCCTCAGTCGATACAAAGTGGTGACTCCTCTGCTGGCATTGGGATGAACGCTTGTGGACTTGGTGTTCTTTGTGCGAATCCAAGTCACACGGGTTGAGGAGGGCTCCTGACCGAAAGGTGTAAAATTCGCAGTGGCATCATAATACCTTGGCCCTGTATCATCTCACCTCTGTTCCCTTTGTGCTGGTGGGCATGACCTGGAGCCCATTAAGCACAACCAGGCCTTTCAAACTGCCGTTAGCAAACCTGTCGATAAAGGATCGCAGATGTAGGAGAAGGCAACGGGGGACGGATCCATGAAGTCGAAGAGGAGGTCATTGACGCCCACCGCCTTGAGCATATTGCACATGTGCCGTGAATCACGGAAAAGGAAAAGGCTTTGTGTGTTACGCTAAGTTATCGATTCTCTTCTCAGTATAATATAAAGTAATATGACACGCTGTACCTACTACAGCGTTCTCCATCGCGATCACCCAGCCTGCTAGGCTGACTTCCAGTGTCAAATGCACCGATTCCACTGCACACGGCACCAAGGCCCACACGCCAGGCTAACCAGCCCTCGCCAACGCTGCTACCGACATGTCCCGGCTTCCCCGCTCCTTCGAGTCTTCGTGCTTGGTACCCGGCATCGGCTGACAGAGGGCACTTGTTAGCTCACCGGCGTGGAGATGAGAACCCCAAGTGTCTGATGCGTTTCTTACTTGTTCTTGGAGTTGGGGTTAATCCCGGGACGGGCCGGCGTCAGATGTCGACGGGGGCTGGCTGGTGGCTCGTGGGGTGCCGCCGTGGGTTGGGGTCGCGGCTGGATCGGCCTGGGAGGCTCGATCGAGAGGTTCAGCCTGTTGAACACGGAGGTTGATCAGTAAGGGGTACTTCAAAGGGGATGAATGAGGCAGATGATTAGTTGAGCTGGATCGAACGCTGCATGAAGGAGTGAAGGCTTGAATGTGCGAGGAACCAGGAGCCTGATGGAGATGGCACTGATGCGGGATGACTTACGCCACCAGTGCATATAAAGATCCAGGCGTATTAATGATTTGATTGATGCCTTATAAAAATGATGACAGCTGTAGATGGGATATAGAGATCGGAGGAACGGGCAGCGGATGGGAACTCGACTGGAAATATACATACCGCTCCCTCCCCGCGTCCTCCTGCCGTTGCTTCTTGAATCTCTTTCTATGTTGCAAGCACAATGCAGCAGTACGGTAAGATCATGTGACGCCGCGGCGGCCAACGAGCCGCTCTTGTCGTTTCATCAGGCGACCCCGAAGGAGGGAGTTATCGTCTTGAGCGTAGCTGATATGCTGGAACGATTCACAAACGGTACGTTGCCTTTTCGTTCCCCCCAACTCTGATTTATGTTTGACTGCTTAGTGCGTAGGCGCCAATGGACAGAGGGTTATAACGGAATAAATGACCTCGCCGCTACGATGAGGTGCTCAAGAGCCACGCCCACCAGTTTCCGCTTCGTCTCTTCGTCGAGGCCTGCAAAAGACTACTTCATCACGGATTCCCTGGCTGTTGCGAGGGCCTTGACACCAATGTCGAGGGTAGGAAGAGCTGTGTCCACGTTATAACTGCTGGTGCATCTGAGGGAACCCGTCATCACAAAACTTCAGGCACTCGGTGCCAATGTGCTATATGTGAGATGAGCCAGGAAACATACATCCACATCTTGCACGCGCACACCTTGAGTAATACTATGGGCGCACAGACATTATCGATAAGCAGGTAAAGAACGAGAGTGAACCCGAGCTTCCGTGCTCCTCGGTTGATATACAGAAACCCCGCTGCTCTTACCCCCTGGAATTTTCAAGATCTTTGCAAGTTTCACCTTGATTTCCCGCCAGGTAGTCATAGTTTTCTTGACATTAGGTCACATACCGAATCTAGCGGCCGGGTGAACTATCTGAACGCGGCCATGCAACATCAAGGCCATTTTGATTTCACTCGCCACTGGGCCAACGTACTGGGTGCCCAGCAAAGGGCTAGAGACAACTAAGTCTATGTAAGGTATGGGATGTTCTTTAGAAGGAATTTGGATGCCGATCCCTTGTTCTGACGTGAGACTCAGTTGTTGAACTGAGTGGGTTCCTTGGCACCAAGATTCACGGACTGAGCACTGATGTTCAATGCGAGACTCTCAGTCAGCACAGATCCATCACAATGACACAGTTCCTGACATAGCGTCATATCATGGCACAATGTCTCTATATAAGGGGGTAATTTCCCCTGGGAGGATTAGAGAGCACAATTTTCTGTTCCAACAAGAAAGGGGCATTCTGAGGCACCCTAACCCACTATCTTGATCCTTCATTTGTGTGGTCACTCTGGAATCGTGACTCCAATTCAAGCTTCGTTTCATACCTCAATCTGTTCAATACCATTTGGTTGATCTAAGCTTACTTGAGCATGTAACTGTTGGCTGCCCAACATCAGTCCTGCTCATCGGCCTAGGCTAGCGACGGTACATCAGGCGAGTATAAAGGTTTACAACCCACAACTTACAACACACTAACGGGTTGATTAGCTCTAGTTGTCTGAACTATAACTTATTTCCAATTTTTGTCGGGGTGCTCCTCGTTCTTCTTTTATTTAAGGGTGTTGACCCATTGTCCTTCTGCCTCTGGTGCCATGGCGCAAGAAGGAAGCGGAGATTTCATTTCTTCGCTATCGTGTATGGTCTTATCGTCAAAGGTCGAACGTCGAGTTTTCTAACGGGTACCTTCAAGGCTATTGGCGTTTGCCTAACTAGGCGAATTATGCTTATACGTATAGCTTGAAAACAAAGCCGGGGGTGATGGAGAAGTTGTACTCCAGTAGAGCGGGGCCTCAGTGGTCGAAATTAGCATGTTGAATTGCCGTTCTACTTGAGTTGCTATAGAATCTACTTCATGATCTCGACAGCCAAACCGAGGCTCGCAGTGATAGCAAACCTCTTCCACCTTTTTCTCATACCAAGTGGCCCATGGCCATTCCTTCTCGCAGCCATACGGAGCGGAGACAACGGAAACTCCCTTCTCCAAATCCCAGGCACTCACCACTGGGTCCGCCAGCGCTTTCTCCCCTTCGCTGATTGCAGCGACGACCTCCACATCATCAACCACCACAACACCAGCCTTGGTCTTCCGGGGCTTCCCGCCCCTTCTTAGTCAATCCCGTCCGTTGGCGGCAACCATGCCCTCGGAGCTCTCATAGCCGCTCATGTACTCACCAAACACCCGCTCCTCAATATCCATATCCTTCCACAGCCGGCCAGTCGTCTTGCGCGCCTTCTTGCGGAAATAAACCCTCTTCCCCCACTTCCACGCCTCGACGCCGGCAAAGAACAAGCCTGCGGCGATGAACACGATGCCCCACTCCCAGCTGATGCCCGTGTGCTTGAACACAGCATGGTTGATGACGGGGATATACAGCGTGGGGAACAGCGTGGCGAAGCCAAAGACAATGGCCCAGAACAAAAACTTGTTGCGCCAGACATCGTAGAACCACTGGGTAAAATACTTCTTGCTGCCGGGCTGCATGCGGAAGAAGGACCGGCGCATATCGACCAGCTCCCAGGCCAGGAACAGCGCGAACCACGTCAGGCAGGCGAACGTGGTAGCGCGGGCGCGGAACACCGTCTCGCACGACTCGCTGTACGACTCGTTGCAGTTGGAGCCCAGGTTGCCGCTGCCCCAGGCATAGACGCGCAGGACGAAGCTGGCCAGGCACAGCGCGGCAATCCACAAGCCATAAACGACCATGTCAACGAGGAATTCCATGGTGAAGATGCCCGTCTTGAGCGACTGCGGCGGGCGGCGCATGATGTCGGGAACGGCACGCTCAAAGCCGAGACCCATGTCTGGCAGGCCCGAGGTGACCATGATGATCCAGACGATCTCGACGGGGGCGAGCGGGAAGACGGATAGCGAGGTGGCGTCCTTGAAGGCCAGGCCGATGAGCAGCGTACCGGCCTGGGCAATGTTCTCGGCCAGGACGTGCAAGACGAACTTTTGGATGTTGTCGAAGATGCGCCGGCCTTCTTCGATGGCGGCGACGATGGACGCGAAGTTGTCGTCTGTGAGGACAATGTCTGAGGCGTCTTTAGCCACGTCGGAACCGGCTTGGCCCATGGCGATGCCCACGTCTGCGCGCTTGAGCGACGGAGAGTCATTTACACCGTCGCCGGTCTGGAGGGATGTCAGTTTCTTGGGATGAGTAGATCGGGGACGGGGGACGGGACACATACCATGGCGACAAATTTCTTGCGGCGGTGGAGGGCGTCAATCATGCGCACCTTGGTGCTCGGAGCACACCGCGCAATGACCAGCGGAAGAACCGGGAGATTATCGATTTGGGTATCATCAAGCGCATCGAACTCGCCAGCCGTCATGACCATGGCTTTGGCCATGTCGGCGCTGACCTTGTCCATCCGCTTGGGCAGGATGCCGACTTCGATGGCAATAGCCTTGGCCGTCTCCGGGTGGTCGCCAGTAAGCATGTGCACCGAGATGCCGGCCTCATGGCACTCGCGCACGGCCGGAGCCGATTCGGCACGCGGCGGGTCGTACAGGCCAATCAGGCCTAGGAAGGTAAGGTCCTTTTCGATCTCGTTACGGTCAGTATCCTCGCTCGCAGCCGAGCCAACATCTAGCTTTCTGCTCGCGAGCGCCAGCACGCGGAGGCCAAGGCCGGCAAACACCTCCATATTGGACAAAATATGGTTTCGGAAGTCCTCCGTCATGTCGACCTCGCCCGTCTCGCCGGCAGGCACATCGGCCGTCCAGTACTTGGTGCACACCCGAATAACCCTCTCGACAGCGCCCTTGGTGAACGCAAATTGCTCGTCGGTAGTATTGCGCTTCATGATGACGCTCATCCGCTTCACGTCGCTGTCGAACGGAAACTCGGCAACCTCCTTCCACTCGGGCTTGTTGTTGTTGTCCTCACTCACGAGAGTCAACCTGTTCTTTCCGAAGCGGCTGGCAAACACCTGGATGGCGATCTCGGTCGGGTCGCCGCGGGCGAACCACTCACCTTCCTTCTCGAAGACGGTCGCGACATTGGCCAGCGAGGCGACGGTGAGGAATTCCTGCAGGCGAGTCTTGCTGCTGGCGAGGAGATCGGAAGGGGAGGCAATGGAGCCCTTCTCGGCCGTCTCCTTCTCCTCCTTGTCGGACCGGGGGCGGAAGTTGATCTGGTGTGGCTCGCGAGCGTCGAAGCGGATGTCGCCCTTAGTCGGGTTAAACGGTTCGCCCGACGTGAGTTCGACCGTGTATGTGCCGAGACCGGGGACCCAAGCACCACGCGCGACCATCTTTCCCTGGGTGAGGGTGCCGGTCTTGTCGCTGCAGATGTCGGTGACGGCGCCGAGGGCTTCGAGACTCTTAAGGTTGCGGACGATGACGTTGCGCTGCACCATGCGCTTGGTGCCGGCGGCCATGGTAATCGTCAGGACGACGACCAGAGATGCGGGTATCATGGAGAGACCGGTGGCGACAGCGTAGATAATGACTTCCTGCCGGGTATTGAACTTGTTGGCGCCCAGAACGATGATGGCGCAGACAATGGCGATACCGAACAGAAGCATGGCCAGTTTGCTGAGCTTCCGTTGCAGAGGAGTGCCGACGCTGACGCCTAGAAACCGACCAATGGCATCGCCAAGGGTGAGGGTGTAAGCTTCCAGGTAGCGATGGGGCCCGGCCTTGCCGTTGGGCTTCCGCTTGACGGGGCGAACGCGGCGTTCCTTTTGGTTGAGAGCCGAGGCAATGGCACCAATCTCGGTGAAGGTACCGGTAGCAAAGACAATACCTTTGGCGCGGCCTTTGGTGACAGTCGAGCTGCTGTAGGCGACATTGAGCCGGTCGCCGGGGCCGGTGTTGTCGTCGAAAGTAGCAGTCTCCCGCTTACGGACAGGCAGGGATTCACCAGTGAGCAAAGCCTCGTCGGTCTCAAAGTTCTTAGCCTCAACCAGCCTGTGAAGAAAGTGGTTATCAGACAGAGTTAGCGCGAAATCGAGCGGATGGCTACACACCTGATGTCGGCGGGGATGGTGTCACCCATCTTGACCTCGATCAGATCGCCAGGCACAACCTCGCCAGAAGGCACGACCATGGCTTCACCGCCGCGGACTACCGTGGCGGTAGGCGAGCTGAGCGAGCGCAAGGAGTCCATGGTCTTCTCGGCCGAGTACTCCTGGAAGAAACCGACAACGATGTTGAGCAGGATGACGATGGCAACGACGCCGCCTTCAATCCACGACCTGATACCGAAACTGACGGCCATAGCCAAGATTAGCACCTAAGTCCAACCATCAGCATCTCGATTTCCAGCTGAGGGCTGGGATGGGAACAGGTACCAGCGTCATGGCGTTGGCGATTTGGGCCACAATGATCTTGAAGGGCTGGACGCCCTCTTCTTCGCCGAGGTCGTTACGTCCATACTGCTCGAGCCGGGTCTTGGCCTCGTGAGCCGTCAGGCCGGACAGGATGTCGGCATCAAGCTCGGCGGCGAGCTGTTCGTGCGTTAGGGCGTGGGCCGGGCGGCTCAAGGGGCGGTTGGACTGGCCCGAGACATGGCCGCCCGAAGGCTCCTTCGACCCGCTCTTGGCCATTGCGCGGGCTGATTTACAGCAGGCTGTATGCACAAGTTCGGCTTGCGTTGGTCCGGTGCGATGGAGGGACGGTGTGACTGTGATGGTAGCGCCTTAACAAGAGTGTGACACAGAGTCACCCAACAACAGCAAATTTCCTGATAAGGAAGCTGTCGTGAAGAAAACAGATGCCTGAGGGTGAATGTGCTTCCAAGTCGAAGCTTGTAGTCGTGGGGGAAACCGGCAGTCAAATACAGCCTCCCAACTCCTGCAAGAAAACGCCAATGCGATTGACCCGCTAAATCTTCCCCATCAACGCTTCTTGGCTTGCCAGGGATGAATCCGCCCCTCGGGAGGCTAGACAGCCACTGTGGTCAATCGAGCCTCTGGTTTACCTGTGATGGGCAGGTCAACCTGGATGTGCAGCCCTTGGCGTCTGGGCGAGCTTGGCATGCTGGATCCTCGGTGTCGCTTTTTGTCGCAGAATCGTCGTTTGCCACTTTCTCTCTTTCCTGCCTTTGGCAGGCTTGGCATACTGCTGCCTGAGGTGGTGTTGGATTCATATGCACGTACATCAGGGTGCCGTTCTGGTGGTTTTGAAAATGATGCTTGTGTATCGGCGGGGATGACCATGTCGTCATGTTGTATCGCGGGGCATGTTAATGCATTGGCCATGTCCGAAGTGTTTGCGTCAGGCTTTTCTGCCAAGGCTTTGCCAAGACCCTGCCAAGTCCAAAGCTGCCCCACGGTTGAGCGGGGACGTCATACTAGCCGCTGAGCCGACGGACTGCGGATTTTGGTCGTATAATTGCAATTACGGTTGTATTAGAGATTGTGCAAAAACAGTACTGCTTCCTGTTAGTGCACTATCTAGCAGCAACATTTGCTCGATTTTTGCTGGCCAAACTTGGCATACCGATTGAAGCCTCCCCCACGTGCGCCCAGCGCCGATGTCCATTTGAGAACGCCATCAATTGGCGCCGTCATCAGGTTGTGTCTCTCTGCTCTAGTGTACAGGCGTACAACTTCCATCACGAGACTTTCGGATGCCAAGTAGCCGGAATCTCGCAGGGCTAGGGATTGGTTCTTTCCACAGGAACCAGAACACTCCCAAAGAACCCCATGCAGATGCAAGCAGCAACAGGTGGCATTGCAGAATTGGCGGCACGTGATATTGTTCAGTGCGACGCTCTGGTCTCCAAGCTGAAGTCACTGTGTGTTCACGACTGCCGGCATCGCCCAGACGTGCTCCCACAGCAATTCGAGCCAAGTACGATGAAGTATGACTCCTTCCCCCTTCCCCCCCACGTCCGAGCGGTTTCATGTCATGACGGTTCAGAACTTATTAGCGTTTCACCTGACGTTTCGATCAACGTTCAAACATGTTTCTTGGCCAGCTTCCGCGGCGGTGCTTGGCAGTTGTGCTTGACTTCACACCGCCTCGCGTGCCTGAATTCCTGATTGGGCCAGCCCTGCACACAGAATTCTCAAGGGCTTCTCGGAACCCCACCAAAACGCCTCAGCCAAGCCGGCCGGCATGCCTAGCCGCGCCTGGTCGACATGATCCCCCACAGCACCCGGTTGCCAACGGAAAAATCACTTTCCCTGAACGGCGAATCGGTCAGGGGCTCGATCTCGACGACGGTGGACGGATTGCGATCGACGCTGTCTTCCTGGCTCCTGGTCCTTCACGCCCATGAAACGTTTGTGGGGTATCTGACCCAAGGCACCTGGTGTCTGGTGCACCAGGACAGGCCGGACCTCACTGTATCACAAGTGAGATCAAAACGCCATTGGCTTGGTCAAGGAAATCTCCGAAGCACGCGGTCTTGGCGCCTTCTCAGTTGCGAGTGCCGGATGCATGGTGCAACAACTTGAAGCAACAAAACCCTTGACCCTCTGCCGGCCAGGCATCTGTGAGTGTGCGGGACAAGCCCAGTCGCATTCTCTGGGTATCATCGGGGTTGACCCTGATGACGGGAACTTAGCCTTCCTGGCCCTGGTACTCGACTCGGTTGCCCAGGTCATGTCTCTCGGCCAGAGGGGGTGGGAAAGGGTGGGCCAAATTGCTGTGCTACCCATTGTCAGTTCAATGAAACCAGCCTACTTTGAAAGAGGTCGGGGTCGCTTCGACTCCCTCCGACGGCGGTGGAATGGGTGGAGCTGAGAGAGAAGAATCCACGCACAGGGCAAAGGACGCCTTAACTTATATGAGATACAATGCCTGGCCCGCACCCTGAGAGGTTCTTTGGACATGTTGTCAAACGGCATTCCGATCACGAGAACCCGAACAAATCGAGTTGAGACTTGCCTCACCATTACAACTGAGAGTAACGTCAAAAACGCAGGTTGCCCCACCCTCTACTACCTTCAACATTCAGATCACCCATGGATGACCCCATCAGGCAGCTTCAGAGACTCAGCCTCTTTAGACAGGGGCAATTAGATTGGGAACTGCCGCCGCCCAAAGTTCCCCGTCGACCGCGCGAGGCGCCTCATCTCGCCGCAGCTGATGTATCACGACTTTTGGCCGGCATTTGCTCGAATGTCATGTTCCAGTAACGAGATCGAGCTGCGAGACGTTGTTGCGGAGCAGCCTTTCCTTGTCATACCCAGGTTTGGAATCCCTGAGGGAACAGCTTAAGCTCATGTTATCCAGAGGCCCCAGGGGAGACGAGACAGCTCACCTTCCCAAGAGGAAAAAAAAAAGAAGAAAAGAAAAACAACTATTGCGGAAGAAGGATGCATGTTGGCAGGAACTTAACACGTTACACGTTGTTGGGCGTGGTGCTGGAAGAATCTAGATGCCTTACCTATATCGCCTCCAACAGGACCACCAACCATTAGCGTCGAAGAAGTTGCCTTGAGCTAGCCTATCCCTGAATGGGTCAATCACATGCACCAGGGACAGGATTGCCGTAGGGACGCGAGCCGTCGAGGTAAGCGCAAGGAGGGACTTCAAGCTGAACAGCAGCTCTGGGAAGCACTGTGCTGCCCGCGGAGCTTAAACGCTGGGTGCCCAAGCCGGAACCGGAGAGTAAGCCCATGGCGTTCCTAAAGAACTGATACCTATCGTGCGCTGCGATTCCCAGATTCCGGGTTGCTTTTAGGCTCTGGAAGTCCCTGGAAAACATGCGACAAACCGCCGCGGGAGAAGCTGGGGGAATTTTGTTGCAAGACATGTTAGTACCCCAACAACCACCGGCCGTCAACAGGCCAAGGGTTACATTGAGTAAGTGGGCGTATTAGAGAGTATTCGAGAGACAGAATGGAAGTGACGCGCTCGACGAGCCCAGATACGGAGACGTTTAGTCACAAGTGCAGAGCACGCAATCAAGAGGAACACAGTCCGGGTCAAGCTCCTAAGGGCAAGGTTAAATGATTGCCAGCGGTAATTAGCTCCGGTACGTACGTTCTCGTCGGCCTTTTACTGTGGTATCACGCAAGGAGATCTACAGGCATTGAATCCATAGGAACATGAACTCTAACCTCCGTACATTCCATTACTGGACCCATCCACTCTGTGACTTCGAAAGGGCAGCGATATTATGACTTTTTACTGCGTTTCAGAGGTGCCATCACTTACAAACTCGACTTAGGTAGATATTATTCTGTATCCTAGTATCAAGTCGACATGCCAAGTCTATCAACCACCCCCAATCCCTTCACTATTTTCTGAACTCAGGGGCCGACTTCGGGACTCCAGTCCCCAACAAAGTATAGACTTAGACCATACCGTGGTGCTCGAGGTTGTGGGGGCACCCAAGGCAGCATTGCAGTCGGATTCACGTACCCGGTTTGGGAGGAGACCGAGCAGGTGTGGTAGCCTTGATGGCGCCAACAAACCTCGACCCTGTGCTTCCGGTTGACCTGGTTTGGCCCGAGCCTCAGTGAGGTCATTCTTGACTGGGGGGCGTTGTGTTATGCTTGCCAGCGTAGATCTTGCAAGAGTCGTCCATCTTCTCAGTGTACGATGCCTACCTGGCTTACCCCTGATTTTAACTTCTTTGCTAGTTTTGTTCTTGCCCCCCATACCACTGTTCCATGTGCTCCGACACCAACGCCAATTCAAGGTTCCCTTTTACTTACCTACTCATCATGTCCAAGTATTGTACGTTGGTTAATCTGATCCCATAAGTCATAGCTACTGTACTAGTTTTCGTCACTGTCCATCCCACGATTTGTAAGTTAAGGTATTTAAGTAAGATAGTAGTCCTTCGATGGTCGACATTGGCATCAAACAAGGTTTTCACCACCCCTCAGCAGACATACTGCGTGCTTACTACCAGAACCACCGAGTTGCGGCCGTGTTGGGTGGGTGCCTTTGGTGATTTTCGGCACTTGATGGTCCGTCGGCTCGCCGTTCCTGGTTGGGTATCAGCGGTCGTCCTCCCTATAACGTCATGCTCGAGGCGGGAAATGCTCCACGCTTTCATTTTGAGTCGGGCTGCCGTTCCGTGGAATCAGCCGGCGGTTGCAATTAAGTCTCAAATGGGTACCCTGGTCGGTGGCCCGGCAGTCTCCTCCGACCAGTGACGGCACGCCAAAGGCTTGTCATGTGCGGAAGTGCGGGTGGCTGCCGCATTGGGGCGCATATTAGCCGGACGACGATGTTCCATGGATCGGCCAGATTTGGAAGGAAACCGGGAAGCAGCACTCTAGGTAACACCAGAATCTGGGGCAAGTTACACTCTTGAGCGCCTGCCGTGCAATATACGGATATAGCCAGCCATTACAGGCGGTAGAGTTGTGCTCTTAAGACGACTCGGACTCCCATCAACTCGTAGAACCCGTCTTCCTGCCTCATTGTTTACCAACGCCCACATCTCTGAGAGCAATTCGAGTACGAGAAGATAGCCAACACATATCATCGCCGAACCTTAAGTCGACAACCATGGTTGCCTCGTCCGTGTTTGGCCTCGGCCTCTTTGCCGCCGGCGCGGCCGCCCACGGCGCCGTCACCAGCTACATCATCGCCGGCAAGAACTACCCCGGCTACCAGGGCTTCTCTCCGGCCAACTCCCCGAACGTCATCCAGCGGCAGTGGCCCAACTACAACCCAATCACGACCTGCTCTGCCTCCCAGCTGCGCTGCAACGGCGGCACGTCGGCGACCCAGTACGCTGAGGTAGCGCCGGGCCAGACGGTGTCGGCCGTGTGGCAGCAATGGACCCACAGCCAGGGCCCTATCCTCGTGTGGCTGTACAAGTGCCCCGGTGACTTTAGCTCGTGCGACGGCTCCGGCGCCGGGTGGTTCAAGATCGACGAGGCCGGCTTCAACGGCGACGGCAGGACGGTGTTCCTCGACACGGAGCGGCCCTCGGGCTGGCCCATCTCGACGCTCGTCGGTGGCAACAAGCAGTGGACCAGCACGATCCCGCAGGGCCTCGCTCCCGGCAACTACCTCATCCGCCACGAGCTCATCGCCCTGCACCAGGCCAACGCGCCCCAGTTCTACCCCGAGTGCGCCCAAATCAAGGTTACTGGGTCCGGCACGCTGCAGCCCGACTCATCGTACAAGGCTGCTATCCCGGGTTACTGCAAGGATAGCGACTCCAACATCCGGGTAAGTTATGTTTTTCTTTTGTTACCAGGTATCTTTGTCCTCCTCCATTGTCACACATATCTAATACCCCCCTTCTCAGGTCCCTATCAACGACCACAGCATCCCTCAGACGTACAAGGTTCCTGGTCCCCCGGTGTGGACGGGCGCGGCCAGCGCGAAGAGGGCCACGGAGTTCACTGCCTAGGTACGGCCGTGTCTTGCTGGACCATCTTAAGGGATGCGCATGAGAGGAGCTAGCATGTCGGGCTGACCAACGCTTTAACTTCTTGTATATCGTCCAGACTCCCAGACGAAACTGCTCTACTATGAAGTACGTTGCCGCTGGTTGCACATAAATTCGATTAGTACCTTGCAGTCCTCATGTTTTGGGAACAGCTTACATGTGATGGCGTGGATGATGGCTCCAGTCCGTGTACTCATACAGCTACCTAGGAACCTGCCTTAGTGATGATTTGGAAAACAATAACAGCGCGAGGGATAAGGGTTTAATCAATACCCGGTAATTAGTTAAGTCGGTTTTGGGAGACTGTGTCTGTTCAACTGAGAGATACTTGTAAATTACAAGCTCGATTCCACGGAGCCAGAGAACATTACATAAACGTTATCACGGGTGTTCAATTCCATTGTTTGAACATACCAGCATTCATTGACATCAAACTAAGTCCCTTATGTCCTGTTGCACAACAAATGCTGATCCCTGTACAATGATCATGTCCTTCGCTTTGTTCGCCTACATCTGTCTCATTTTTCCTCTCACCCTTGACTAGTGACCACCCACTCCGGGACGCAAGCGAGCACCTTGACCGTGATCAGCGACTCGGAGCCATACTCCTTTTGGAGATTCATTGCTTCCTCAAAAACAGGCATCAGGCGGCCATCGGGGGTCGTCATATTCCAGAGCCAAGTGTCCTCAAGACTCACCTCATAAAAGGCAGCACCACGCCCCAAGTACTTTGACGTCCACGACGACATCGATATGCCTTGATCTTTGTCAGCTTTGAGCGTGATACAAGAATCGATCAAGAAGATCTCCCTCAGGCTGGGGAGATTCTCAGGCCAAAGGGCATTGAGTCCCAGCCGATGTCGGTATGAGACGAGATGCTGGGTCCCAAGCAAGTCAGCGTCAGTCCAAGCGGTGTCGCGATACACAAACGCCACCTTTCTGAGCCCTGCTAGCTCTGGACAGGCCTCGTGTAGCGTTGGGGACCAGGGCGCGGAGCTGGCAGATGAGGTCTGGCTGAAGAAGTCGGGCGTAAAGTTCATGAAATCTAACGTGCAAGGCAAGACTAGTGCCTGGCCTTTGTACCTCACCCCCGAGTCCTCCTGAGCCAGCCTTCTGTCTGGATGACGGGTTGCAAACACAGGCCAACTATGGTTTACCTCAGTCTCCAGATCAACAAAGCAAATGACGGTCTCTGGCGGCACTTGGGGCGCGATGAGGTCGGCACCAGGCTTGACAGTGGCATCAGCAGCCTCGGGGCAGACCGCAGCCAGAAAGTGGAACTGCATGTGTGGCCTGTACCCGTAGACTGCCAGGCCCATGAGGCCATTGACCGGCATGAGATCGACCAAACCAGCACGGTAGCTGCGGGCTGCACGCACGCGGGCGTCGTCCTCCAACGTTCGCTGGATGTCCACAGGGAGCTGGTCCCAGCCAGGGCCTGCAGCCTCCCGAACTTCCTGCATTGCGCGCATGACCAGCTCCTCCTCGTGAAGGTAATTAAGCTGGCCTTTCAATACTTTCACAAAATGAACTGAGGGTACTGCCACGATATCGTGTGCGGCACGCTCCCAGATATCTCTCCGGACTTCTGCCGGCAAGTTGATAAAATTGGGGAATCTTGGGTGAGACTCCATTGCATTTTTCTTCGCGGTGTCGAGTTGAGACGATGTGTGGGTGAGGAGAGAAATGGGACTTCCAGCATGACCTCGAGGTGTTCATATACCCAAGCTGCAGTGATCTGCACAAGGTACATCATGGGGATTTGCCTTAATCACAAGTATATGTGGGCTCTCTTCTCCAGGGTCTATACTAGCTCTGTGTTCTTACAATCACTATGAACACATATTCACATTCAACGGGTTAAAGCATAACGTTAATGGGAGACCCAAGAAATTTATATGTTCTAGTATACATTAGCTCTCTCCACACAGATGGTAGGTAGGTACAATACAGTATGAAACTAGATCACCTCGAGCCTGATCATTTCTCCGTGATCAGGTGTTACATTCAGTCACAAACAATCTGGAGGGTCTATTATTACATTTCACTATATATTAACCCACTGACATTCAGAAAGCTCGGGCATGTTCATGGACTTGAAACAATTGGTAAGTTCTAGTACTTATACGTTACATTACCAGGAAGTTACCTTCCTATCCAAGCTACAGGAGAATATCCGTGAGCCTGGAAATCAATCCATATCCAAGCGTCAGGACAGTACCTTGGACAGTACATTACCTGAACAACTCAGAGACCACTGGTAGCACGTTGTTCAGTTGTTGGCATGCTGTTCCCCCTATGCATGTATTCAGCAACCAACACAATTCCAGTCGGGTCCGGGACAGAGGAAGCACGTTGACCGTTACTGGGGACCCAACACGGTCATACTTGGCTTGCAAGTCGATTGCAGCACTGAATACCCGAATCAGATCCCCCTTTGGGGTGTTGATCTTCCAGACCTTGCTTTGCTTCCAGTCAACCTCGTAGAAGGAAGAGCCATGTCCAGGAAATCTCCGTACCGTCGCAGGTGGAAGGGCAGATTCGGAACGGAGCTTGATGGACTCATCCAGCAGGTAAATCTCCTGGAGAACAGGCATATTATGAGGCCACAGATGCTGAAGACCAAGGCGTTGGTAGTACGGTAGTCGTTGGTGTCCAGCACGGTCCAAATCCTTGTCGTACAGAAACGCCACCCGCGTCACCCTCGAAAACGCAGGGCACCAGTCGACCAGCTCGGGACACCGTTCCGTCAGGTTTGGCGGGAGTTGGTCCCAGCGGTTCTGCCATGCAAGCTCAGGCATGGAGAGGCCGCCGACTACGACTATCTGCCTATCTCGTCGAGGACAGTAGCCGAAGACGGGAAGCCATGCCGCTTCCTCAGGGCCGGTGAGAAGAATGATGTCTTGGGACATGTTGATGCGTTCCACAAAGCGGAAATTCTGGGTTGCCGTCGGTGCTGGTACAGGCTGCGACCACCAACGAATGGCCTTGTTAGGAATGCATTCGAGTTCCCTATAGGCGGCGGCCAGCTCAGTGACCTGCCACATGGCAGAATGGCGTGGAGGCTGGGCGGCAGTATCAGATTGTTCCCACGTGATGTGCATCTTTCGAAAGTCGAGGCTCCTGGTTAGGAGTGTTGCCCGTTGCTGTTCTGAGTTGCTGCTGAGGACAGAATCCATATCGTCGATATTGATGAATGCTCGAAAGGTGGTGAATTCCACTGACGGTCTTGCCAGTATCTGCTGTGCAGTCCTATCCCAGATATCGTTCCGGATGTCGGCAGGGAGGTGCCGAAATGGCTGGAAGAACTGCAGCTGAGACGGCATTGTTGCGGACTGAACGTCGGATTGGGACTGAGTCGTAGTGGTGTTGCTGTTATGCGGATGAATACCTAAGTTGAGCACCCGAGGTTTATATATCGCTGCCGTTTTTCTCTTTTTCCTTTGTTCCGCCGCGTTGTTTAGGCTTCATGTCCAGGCCCGAACCGCTTGTTTCCACACTTTGACAATGGAATTGTGTTACCTAGTTATGTCAAACAAAGAAAAGCCCAAAGGTCGTTCTCAACCAGGCATGCACTTCTTGGAATAATTGCTGCCGGTTGCAACTGGCTGTTTTTGTCTACACACATGTGTCTACATGTAACAAACCATTGGAAACGCCATGTACGAGAACAAAGTGATTGTCGTCAACATCGAATGCATTAGAATACTGTATAGGTAAGCAGGGAATCCTGGCATTTATACCCAATGGTTCCTCTCATGCCGCATCTCACGCCCCTCGCAACGTCTACACCTCCTATATCTACCAGCCAGCCGCGGCTTACACCAAGTACATATCATGCCCTTCTACAAGCGACGCAAAACCTTCCACACCTTCCCCAACCTCCCCCCCGAACTCCTCCATCCAAAACAATCCGAGGCTAACCAGCTGGGACTGCAACCCTCCTGCAAATTCTCCCCTTTTCGACCTTCCCGACCGACAAAGCCATCCTCGCGGCTTGCACTCCCGGCCCTCCGCCAATCTCGACGCAACCTACGGGCCGGCATGGAGCTCCGATCCATTGGCGCCACACCTACTCGACCAAGCGTCCGAAGCACAGGCAAATGCGCTGGCGTGGTACAGGGCGAGTCGGACGGTCGTGTTCCCTGCTCGCGCTCCTAGACGGGATGCGGCCAGCACAATGGCGAAGGTTGACCCCGGCTGGTGGGTGCGGGAACAGGTGTACCGTGTGGCGGGGAGTTACGCGGAGGGAGGAGGGTGTTGGCGCGGTTGGTTGGTCGACGGCTTTGGCGCTATCGAGAGGCGGGTTGATGTTGGGGGTGGGGTGTGACTTTGGGATGTGCTGTAGCCTTGCTATCCGCGGTTAGTACCCAGTCTTGAGCCGGAGGTGGCGCTGAGGTTGGATAGGGCACATGAAGGCAAGGAATCGGGATGATGAGGAGGCTGGACGCTGTGGTGCCCGCTACCCGTCCACTGTGAGGTGCTCACTACGGTGTGGTCTCGCCATGTGTATGGGAACATATCGCTGCCCGAGGAGGAACTTGGCGGGGCAGGTGTTGAGTTCAGGAAGGGTGCCATGGGCCTGGTAAGTCGACATCCCAAGCTGAGGACGCTCTACTTCCTGAACTGGTCACTAAGGCCTAGTGGGCTGCGGGCTTCTGGCGGTCTGTGGTCAGATTCCGTGGACATAAGGCCTCGTTCCATGAACTTGACCCCTATCAGTCCACGAAGGGTTGGACAGGGCCAGAGCCCGATGAGGGCCATTTGGACGTGTTTGCATGGGCGCGTAAGCTGACCATGCTGCTGTGACAAGCCACAAAGCATTCTCACTCGCTGCCAGGACGGGCAAGTTAAAGTCTTGGTTTGTGTCCAGGATTTGAGCATCCAAACTGCCACAGTGAGGGTTCGGAGATCCATTCAAGCGCGATGCTTGATTGCGAACAGGGTTATCTCGTACGAGAACTTGGTTCCTGCCTTACCCTAGGTAGCATAGGTATATCGTCCAAGGACTGCTGGCTGACTCGGAAACAGGTTTGCATGGTTGGACGCGTATAGTAAGGATTGAAGTGTAGTTGTTTTGATTGTTCCTTCCCTATGGATATCCGAATATCACGTGCCAGTGTCCAATCGAACCTTTCATAATGTATGGCTATATCAGCCCTGACTCGCCGTGCCTTTCGAGTGCGAGGTCAAAGTTGCCGATAAGTGACTGGAAGTTACAGCTTTGATTCAAGTTCTCATGGGCAGTCTCCCGGCGAGACATAAACAATTTCGCACTCAAAAGCTAACGTACATTATCAGCGAGTCGTGGGTATCAGCGGGTCGAGGCATATCGGTTTATCAAACGCCAGCCAGAGCTCTATACGCGTTATTCCCGTCGATACGACTACCAGAGGGCTAACTGGGAGGATCCGAAGGTCATCAGCGAGTGGTTTACATTCGTATAGAACACTAAGGCGAAGTACGGTATTGTGGATGACGATATTTGCAACTTCGATGACACCGGGTTTATAATGGGCATCATCTGCGCGGGTATGGTGGTTACGACCTCAGATGGCCGTAGCAAGGCAAAGCTGGCCCAGCCCGGCAACCGCGAATGGGCAACGGTGATCCAGGGCGTTAAGGCCCTCGGTTGGGCCATCCCTTTTCTTTATTATCTTGGCCGCGCAGTACCACCTTGCCAACTGGTATACGAAGTGTAACCTCCCAGCCGACTGGCGCATTGCAACCACCGACAATGGCTGGACTACCAATGCGGTAGGCCTAGATTGGATCAAGTACTTCAGCTACCTTCCGGCGGCCCGGACAAAGGGCAAATACCGGTTATTGATCCTCGACGGCTGTGACGGCACCTGCCGTCAAAGGTGTGCGCTTGCCGTGCTCGCGCTTGCCTTCCTCGCGCATGCCCCGCCTGCGCTGGCATTTAACCTCTGCATCGCGAGAGCTCTTCCAGCTTCTCTTTCTTTTCTCCCCATCTTGTGATTAGCAGAATGAGTCAGCAGTTGCAGTGCCTGCGTGCCTCGCCTCGATGCTACTCGTCTCTCACAACGGCCATGGAAGCTACCACTCAACCGAATTCGAGCTCTACTGCTAGCAGAACCCTATCGTCATACTCTGCATGGCCCCGCACTCTTCCTATAAGCTCCAGCCACTCGATATTGGCTGTTTTGGGCCGCTAAAATAGGTGTACGGTCGGCAGATCGAGGACTTGATGCGGGCGTATATCAACCACGTAAGCAAGCTTGAGTTTCTCTATACCTTCCACGAGGTCTATTTTACCTCTATAACAGAGAGAAATATTCAAGGCGGACGAGGGCGCGGTTTTCCTGTATAATAAGTTGTTGAAGGTCCGGCACGCCCTAGGGCACAACGGTGTAGGAATAATAATAATATTCAAGGCGGCTTTACAGGGGCTGGTCTTGTGCCGTACGACCCAGAGAGGGTACTTTCCAAGCTGGATATCAAGCTTCATACGCCAATAATCCCAAACTCACCGCCTAGCACCGCCCAATTCTGGGTCTTCCAGACACCATACAACTCCCGAGAAGCCGAGTTGCAGTCAACGCTCATCAAGACTCGTATTACCAGTCATCAAAATAGCTCCCCGACTTCGATGTTGGCTGCTGTAGACCAGCTTACCAAGGGTACCATGGCTGTAATGCACCAGGTAGCTCTACTTTAGGCAGAGGTCTCTTCGCTTTGCAAGGCCAACGAGGCGCTAAGCAAGCGTTGGAAAGCTAAAAAAGAAAACACACGTGTACAACTTGAAGGATCACTTGCAGTATAAGATGCAAAGGACTTACTAGACCAGAAGGCCGTAGGTGAGGAGGTAAAGCAAGAAATGACGGTTGGGTGATAGTGGTGCAGGGGGGGATCGTACGAAAATTCGGTGCTGTGGTGTGTGCGGCAAGCCTGGCTATCATTCCCGCACCTGCCAGGAAGATGCACAATCATTTGATTCAACTGCTTCTGATGTAATTTTAGTTAGTTCGTAGTGTTGTTGTGTTGCAATTGAAGATAGTGTTCATAGGGTGGTGGAAATGCCACGACTCGCTGATACCCACGAGTCCCTGAGATAACACATCGTTACCTGATCTCCCAGAAACGGCCAGCAACGCGGAACGCGTCAGTCTCGAGGGCTATCACTCAGCTGATTTGGTTTGGGTTATGGTGGCGTGGGCGCTGGGCTGTTCTTGGCAACAGAGGCAAGGTCCCGTCGTCGTCATCACAAGTGTCACGGTTCGTTTCTGAAGCATTTGAATTTGGCTTCTCTGTGTAACGATTCCTTGGAGTGCGTCACACACGATATCCTCGATATGTGCGTAAAGGTCGATTAGTAACTTCTAAGGTAAGCGAGAGAAAGCGGCAGAAGATAAAAAAGCAAAGTGCTAACTACGTGGAAACGCCGGGCATAGTTACACAGGACTTATCGGACCGGAAGCTCGGATCTTGCTGCGCGTTAAATCCGATCCTGTCAGCTTACACGCGGCAAGGATGCAGGATAACCAGGTGACTTTCAGGGGTACAATACAGATCAACGAGTAGCACCGTACATGGACGAACCGGATTGGAAATGTTCCCACATCCGATGCAATGATGAATCCTGCCTTCTGGCGGTGCAATTGTAAGCCGACTCCACCCCCACAAGGAGGTACCCCGGAGACGAGCCGCCCAAACTCGCGAGACTCCGGGTCGTCCGGAGGGACCCTGGCTGCGCCGCACATTATCAGGTATTATCTATATAATATGCCCCCAAACAGTGTCCATGGGAATCTCATCATATCTTTCACCACATTTCGACAGCACCCAATTGCCCAGCCCAATCTCCCCATCACGACACACACACACACGACACGATATACACGACACGACATACACGACACGACATACACGACACGACATACACGACACGACATACACGACACGACATACACGACCATCCATCACCATGTCTGGCAATGGCAAACCGTTTCCCCAGCAGCCTCAATTTCACACCACGGCGGAGCACCGTGCTGCGGTGCTGACGTACCCTGGTAACCTCCGGGAAGCCCTCCGTCAGGCCAAGGAAGACCCCAAGAAGACGCTGCTCGGCGTCGCCCAGGGAATTCCCAGCGTCTTTGTCACAAAGGTCGGTACAAGTACCTTCACTCTCCCCTGAGAAACCACAGACTGACAATATTCGTATCAGGTTATGGCCTCGGCAAAGCCCGACTTCATCTGGATGGACGTTGAGCACGGCATCTTCGACCGCTCAACCCTCTACGAGTAAGTGATCGATAGGCACACCGTCGGCAAGGAAGTTTGGATGGATTTTGACCTTCGTCCTAGCGCCATCCATGCTGCGCAGCATCACTCCGAGGGCAAGACGTTGGTCGTCTGCCGCATCCCCAAGCACGACGAGGTCAGCTTAACGACTGCCCTCGACGCCGGCGCTGCCGGTCTCGTGCTCCCCCATACCGATTGCGCTCAGGATGTCAGGGACAAAGTCAAGGACATCTTCTACCGTGAGTTACACCCCTTCGCCACCTTCCGCCCCCTCAACTCAACGTGTTAATTAACACCCCATAATAGCACCCCTCGGTCAGCGCTCCTTCAGCCCCTGGACCTTCACACCCGGCATCTCGAACCAGTCGCTGTACGAAGGTGACGAGTGGAACATGAAAAACTCCAACAACCACATCTGCATCATCGCGCAGATTGAGAGCGTCGAGGGCATGAAGAATCTCGATGAGATCGCCGCCATGCCCGAGGTCGACGGGCTCATGTTTGGGCCCGGCGACTTCAGCGCCGACGCTGGCATCAATTTCAGCCTCGCCGCCCCCCCGCCCCAAGCCTTCATCGACGCCATGACCAAGTTCGTGACGACGGCGCACAAGTACGGCAAGCCGCTGTTTGGGTATGTTTCTTCCTTTACTGTTATGTTTCCTCCAGCGTTTTCTTGTATGATCATTGCCCCGCTGACTAACCCTTCAAAAAGTGCTGCGCAAAACCCGGCAATGATCCCCATGATGCTTCAACAGGGTTACGTAGCCCTGGCCGTGTCGTTTGATGTCTGGGGGGTGGCGAACATGGTCAAGAATGGCATGGACGAGGCGCGGGTCATCATTGAGCAGAATGTCGACGCTGCCAATGAGAACGGAGCTGCGGAGGCAGCAGATAGTGTCAAGGCGACCAACGGCAGTGCTAATGGTGCGGTTGAGGTGGTGGCTGGAAGAGCTCCTTCGTCGTAGAATATCAGGGTTGCTATGCGATAGATGATACGTTAGACTTGTTTAATCCAATTACCCACTCTGTGTAACATATGAACTTAGGGGCTTCATGCATTCGACAGTTTCCGTCACAGTTGCAACTGGAAGGAGAATGTACTCTATATGGTCTACTCTCCAAAAGCATATATTAGCACTCAAACCAGTATGTGAAATGCCGTCTTCACGCTATACTCCAATTACTTTCAGCTGCATCACACTCAGGCAGTACTCGAGGCGCAGCCACCACCCCTCAGGCCGGCGACTTTGATGCCCTTGCCATTGTCGAGGCTCTCGATAAGATTTTGATCGGTGCGTAGCAAGAAAGGCTCGGTTGATTGGATGTGATGATGAAGTGATTCCAATATGAGTTCGTCCTTCCGCGAGGGAGGTGTGACCGATTTATGACTCCACGATAATTGGGGGCAATCTCAATGCTGTCTGCTTGTTTGCCGAGCGGTTGTCAAAGACCCTGCCATTCACAAACTCGGCCAAGGAGCCTCAAAGAAGGTCCCGTATGGCCATGTCTCGACCGCAGAGCTCAACTTCAACTCTAGTTCGAGGCTCGGCCCGGCCCAGCGTTCCGTTTCAATCCAAAGGGTTCACATAGGGCATATGGCACAACGAGTGTCAGCACGAAGGATTCCCCCGAGGTCAACTTCAGGCAAGAGACCTGACAACTTTACTGGCTCATCCAGTAGGCCAAGGTTGATGCGAGATGCTCCAAAACACAAAGGATCAGCTTACTATCGGACTGCCTCGCATATAACAACATGTATTAACATGTGACCCCGGACTATTACCTGGGTACCCTCAAGGTAAACAACTTGAGAGAAGCTTGTGATCCGTGAGTGTTGAGTTTTGTATTACATCCGGCCTACCGAGTCGCCATGGATGAGAGACCCTGTTTCGGTGCCGCCAGCTCACAGCCTTGAAAGATAAATACTTGCTGAGGCCAACTTGACCGGGAAGGCACCAGACAGGAAGTAAATACCTTTAAGGATTATCCCAAGGCCACCTCGACTCTGGCCCTGCTGACTTTATCCTAGTCGCTCGCTCATATGATTCCTCTTAAATACCTCTGTCGCCCAACACCCAGTCCCTTGGAGGCCACTTTGCTGCCATCAGAAAGCATCATCTACATGTATGCATATATGCATAGCTATGGTAGCCTCTGGGCAGATATCGCCCTACGTCCGTGCGCCTTGCTTCATGTGCGCCGGACGGTCAGGCATGGCAAGATGAAGTCAGTCAACAGGACAAATAGGAGCTTAAACTAAAGAAATCGTCAGGATGGTGTTGTACGAAGGCAACAAGGAAGCGCCAGTTAGAAGTTGCTTACCGGGAACTCGATGACACCTAGCAACTTGCACTCGCAGACGGATCCAGGAGTTGTCCGGCCATCACAACAGTACCCAGGCGGCCGACGCCCTTCCCAAGGCTGGTGAATGGCCAGGACCCCGACGTCGACAGGCTCCGATACGAACGCATCAAGGATGCTATCCAACTCCTGTTTCAGCTTCCCCAGGGAGTGAGCACACCCAAACCAGTCCTGGTACTGATACCGGTAGAGAAACCGCAGCACCCTCAGCTCCGGCATCGGGTTTTTTGCCACCCACTGCACAAGCAGATGGCACAGGTCGCCCACCATCCCAGGACATCGAGGAAAGTCAACCACCAACTGCCGAAGACGGGGCATCTCCAGCCTCAAAAGAGCCGGCACGTCCTTCTCCAAAATCCACGACTCATACACCAGGAGCCTCCTCACCGACCTCAACAGCGCCGTCACGCCCGTCTTCCAACCGTATATCAAATCCATCCACCGCACGCGAAACATGACGCGCGCGTAAAACACGTCCGATACCTCCGCGTACAGCACCCTGCACGTCCCCATCAGTCCCATCACAGTCGCAAGCGCCTCGATCCCTCCCTCGCGGCGCGCCTTCTCCGCGTCGGCCTGCGCCCGACACTCCCCATTGCTGCAGCAAAAGCCGCACCCGCGAACATGGTACCGGGCCACGGGCGCGAGCTGGTCTTCCGGCAGTAACTCTGCAGCACGGCATTTCATTGGTGGGTCGATGATGCCTGTGGCGCCGTCGCTGATGGTAGTGGTGGTGTTAGTGTTGGTTGTCCACCCCCGCTGGCGCCATGGGCGAAAGAGACGGCGGCGGGTGGTGGTGGAGGGGCGCTGCTTGTGTGATGCGGCGCGGCAGTCCCTGCAGGGGTCATGGCCGTCGTACGAGGGGAGGACGATGACGGTGCCATCTGGGGGGATCAGCCAATGGTAGATGTGCAGACGGATTTCGGCGGGGAGGGTCAGGAAATGGCGACGGGGGTTGCCGATTCTTGGAGGGAGCTCTGGTGGGTGAGAGGTTACGGCGGCGGGATCTGGGTTGGTGCAGGTTCGGCAGGGCGGGATAATACAACTCTTTCCCTCGCCGTCCATATTGAAGGTTACGAGAGATGTAGACCTCGGCAAGGAATGTTGTGTTGAAGCCGGAAGGCTTGAGCCCCAAGGCTGCTGTCAACAATGTGGCCGTGGAGAAGAAGAGGTACGAAGACGAGCTAGGGGTTAGACGCTGGTTGCGCTGCACGGACAAGGATTGGCGGTGGTGGTGGTTGTTGATGTATTGTTTCCGCGAGGTGAGGTTGGAGGGAACAAGCCCGAGTGAGCAGAGCGAAGTTTGGGTCTGACGATGAAGGGGGGAAGATATACCGGATACGTAGTAAATAGACGGGAGCCTCAGCTATCTGAATTCTCCATCTGTGCACGTCATTGTGAGTGAGCCGACCTGACATCACGAACGAGCTGCGGGGTCTTACCTGGATGATCCTTGAGACCAAGACAAAGAAAGGTCAAGGGCATATGCTGTTGCCGGCGCAAATCTATTCTCTATATCTAGTTCATCCCAATGACCGGAGATTTGCTCCTTAAATATCCAAGGTAGTTGTTCCGTCACCTAACGCCCGCATTCCCGCTCGCAAACCGTGAGTTCTGTTTTCAAGTCTGCCTTCCAGCTCAAGCCCGCCGTCTGGTTGTGGGTCAAACCTTCACCCGCCATCTTGAGCCAGCAACGCCCCCCTCGCGCATTAGCCTCCTCACTTTGACAGTCCGAGCAGCGGCCATGAGCCCCGTACTCAGCAATAACGTCGCTCCGGCGAACCCCTGAGCGCCGTAGTAGCTCCCTCCTGACGCAGTGATAATGGCTCCAGCAATCGGCGGGCCGGCCAGCGTCGCAAAGCTAACAATGGTGAAGATCATGCCCATCCTGACCCCCGCCTTTCGCACGTCCGTCGTCAGGCTACTCAGGGCGGCGGGGAACAGACTCTGGATGCCACCGGCGGCTGCGCCGTAGAAGCAGCACCACACATACAACCCGGCCGTAGACTCGACCGCCATCCAGCACAGCGCGCATATCCCAGTTATGGCCGTTACGGGGACGAGCACGTTGATGGCTCCCAGCCGATCGGCAAAGTGGTTCGGCACTAGTCGGCCGGGCATGCCCACCCCGTTGATGACCAGCAGCAGGTTCAAGCTGTCGGTGTAGCTCAGTCCGATGATGTTTCTGCTGAACGAGGCAACGTAGTAAAACGCGAAGTACAACCCAAGGAAGAACTGTTCCTTTGTTAGCACACACCGCTTGCTCCAACCTGGCGGCAAGGGAGATGCAACTCACGGAGAAACTCCCCATTGCATAGAGCGTGTACTCGGCCTCCTGAAAGGCCCGCCACTCCACCAACGGACCGCTCGTCCTCGGCGGAATTCTCCGCTTGAGCCCAACCAGCGCCACCACAAACGTGGCGATTTGCACATATCCAATCGCCCTCATGGCCGCGGGAAACCCCTGGCTCGGCAGCAGTTGCCGCACCATGCTCGGAAACACCAGCCCGCCCGTGGCGCTCCCGCACGCGGCCATGCCGATGGCCAGGTTCCGCCTCTTGCTGAAATACGTCGACACGGTCGAGATGCACGGGCAGAACAGCAGGCCGTTGCCGAGTCCCATGCAGATGCCCTGGGCCAGCAGCACCTGCCAGTATCGCGTCGCGACGGATGTGGTGAAGATGCCGACGAGCTGGAACACGATGCCCAGCATGAATACGTGGCGGAAGTAGCCGGCGTCGGTGAGGCGGCCGGCCAAGGTGCCGATGAAGAAGAGAAGGAAGATCTGGAGGGAGCCAATCCATGAAATGTCCGAGGGGGGACGACCCAGCGCGGCGGTGTAGTGGGTTTGGAACAGGCCGAATGAGTTGATGATGCCCCAGGTGTTCATGACAATGAGGTGAGTGCAGGCGACTGCGACGGCCTGTCAGTCACAGCTGGGGGGACGTTGGATCGATGGACTTACCGGCTATCCAGGCCTGCCATCCTCCGTCAGGCGGTGGCCCTGGGTTCCAGCTTGATTTGGTACTTGCCTTGGTGAGGACGCGGCTTACAGCACGTGAGAGCACACTGTTGCCCGTCCCATCCGCGCCGTCGTCTTGCCTATCCTCCCGCGTTCGTGGCTTTGATAGAGGTGCTTGCCCCCCGGCATCAATATCCACCTCACTGGATGTCCGGACGATATCTTCCCCAGTCTTCTTCTCCAGGTCCCCCACCCCCGCGGGCAAGGACGACCATGACGAGTCTGTGTCTGATCCAGGCCGGGCCGGTCCCTTGTCCTCCTCCGTTGGTGATCGCGGCCGAGGCTGGACCATGTTGCCCGCAATCTTCAGAAACACCACACCTCGTCAACTCCGAGGTCCAAGTCAGTCGCACAGAAATTGTCCAGGACCGCGTCGCCAGGGAAGTGGACTGAGATATCGAAGAGTGTGCAAACAGCTAAGCCTCAAAAGAGGCGCGTTCAAGAACGCCTGTTTAGCTTCGAGATGGCTGGAGTGGAAGATCTGAGCCACAGCGTCTGTATTGATATGGTAAACAGACCCGATGAGTAATCCCGACAATACGTTGACAGCAAGCAGGCTTCAAGTGCTCGCCCTCCCAAATGAATCAGAATAGTCTGCCGAAGCAGTGCATTGCAAGCCGCGCGCCAGTCGTGTCAAGACTTTCGGAAGGAGGGATCTGGGTCAAGAATTGGTGGTGAACTCGGCTCAATCCATCCAAGATTTTCCTGCAACTTCTCGGAAAGGAGAAGGGAACCAGGAGACCTTGAAGTAACGGTGAGCAAGTCGTTGTGGATCCGGCCCGCCGAGCGGGTACCGGGAATAGAGTCGTCGAAGAGAATCCCAGAAGCCGCTATCGGTACTTCGTCCGCCCGAAGCTCCTTTCTTCCAATCACACAGAAGAGGGTTCGGGAGGTGTTGGTTCCTGGCCATGTGGCGATTTCGTCCAGCTTAAGTGCTTCCACACGACCGCTTCGTTCATGTCTGTGATCAACAGCAGCATGCGCGCTGTCATGGCATATCGATGTCATTTCTACGCCCTTGGAAGAATCCTTCTTTCATGTGTGAAAGCCCAATTGGTAAGCCAATCATGTGGCGCTGACACAGCCTGAAGTTGCCCCTCACCAAACGGAGAACCGGCCGACGCTCGGCAGCAGAAAGATGGCATTCACGGGCCGAATACCGGATGAGCCCAAGAAACTGGCTCAAGGAGTGAGTCTTTGCTTCCGATCTCATCGAGTCGCAATCCCTCGCCTGAGATAATCAGGGCGTGGCCTTGTGCGCGATGATATTCAAGTCGAGTTGGCGCTTATACCGTTGTCTGGGCCCAACATTCCGCCGACAATACAAGTCAAATTCACGCTGGGGATTCGGCCCCTCCCGGCCAGGCAGAATAACCATGACAATGCCTCCAAGGTATTGTTGTACTACCCTTATATGTGATACTCAAAGTAACTGTGGTTAATGAATGTGGGTGCATGGTCTAGTGGTATGATTTTCGCTTCGCATTCTTCGACTGCGCCTTGTGAAAGGTCCCCGGTTCGATCCCGGGTGCATCCATGCTTTTGCTGCCCCATTCTTTTGATGCTCCAGCGCAGATTTCACTAAGTTGGGATATCCACTGTTTTGAGTAATTATTGTAGTAGCGAACTTATTTCACTTTAGTTTAGTTATACATTATATATTAGGGGTTTCTCTATTTGTATTCCCATAATTATACCATAACGTGATCTACTATTGTGACGAATCTCAAAGCCCCTACTTCTGAAAGGGACTCCTGAAGGTTATAGCTTTGACAACGGGGTGAGGTTCGGTGAAGCCAAAGGGTTCACAACAAGCAATGTCCAAAGGTACTGACAATCTTGCACTTAAGTTGCTTACTGGAGAACTCCCAGAGTCCTCCAGAACGAGTGACTATATACTTGGTAGAGCCTTCATGATCGCCCATGATCGCAGCCTACCAAGAGCTATCCTTGATCGCCTTGGGTAGCCAGCTACCCAAGTCTACCCTTGATCGCCCGGCCCCCACGGCTACCGTGTGGGCCTCGTGCGGTTCCTGCAGTTCTGCCTTGTGCCCCACTGGGCCTGTACATATGGTTGGTTCGTGACAATCTAGGGTGGAGGATAGAGAAAAGGGGAAGGTTCAGGTGGCCGATATCAGAAAGACAATCGAAGCAGAGATCCGGAAACAGGAGAACAAGGAGAACTGGCGATGCACGGCGGTAGTAAAGGAGGCCCGAAACCCTGATCGAATTAGGGTGGCCTGCAGGGACGAAGGCGAGGTCCAGCTCATCAAGGAAGCGGCACAGAAGATCAACGTTCCTGGAGTGCGCGTGTTGAGGGACCAGTTATACCCAGTCAGGATCGATAATGCCAACCGGACAGCAGTCCTTGATGCAGAGGGGAATCTTCTCCCTGGAGCGGCGGAAACACTGGGAAGAGAAAACGAAGTCAACATTGCCAAGATCGCCTGGCTCAGCAGGAAGGATGCTAGCAAAGCGTATGGCTCGATGGTTGTCTATGTAACCAAGGGCAGCGAAGCGAGACGGCTCCTGGATGCACGCTACTTCCATCTAGCTGGGGAATCGGCTTACACAGCTGTGTTTGCACCCCGGGAGGGTCCGATCCAGTGCTTCAACTGTCAAGAACTAGGCCACAAGGCCTTTGCATGCAAGAAGCCACAGACATGTGGACGGTGCGCTGAACAGAGACACCATCACAACACATGTCAAGCCACAGTGATGAAGTGCGTGCTTTGCAGAGGACCATACGAATCGTTCAGCAGGAAATGCCAGCTGCGTAATCTTCGGCCACTGGGCAAGGTCTTTGGCCGGCAGAACCTCGAAATCGACGTCGGCAAGCGCTTGGATTTGCTTCGCGAGGCTCACGCGTTTGGAAACGGCCCTCTTGGGCGGCAACGGGAAGGCAGGCTCGACGGCTGGTACACTGGGCAACCTGTTCGACTCGGTCATCTTCAACGGTATGCCTGCGGACTGTGTGTCTGTGCGTATCTCTCCTCAATCATCGAGGCAGCGGGCATCGTTTGGTGGATGGATGGATGGATGGAATTTTTTCGCCCGGAGGCTCGAAGCCTAAAGGGCCTTGGCACGCTAACTACATCCGATTCGTTGACGTTAGGTCATCAACTCGTACAAGCCCTCTACTCTCTCCCCTTTTCTCACGCCACCTGTTGCCTCTTGACTTAGTTTAGCAGATCGACTTGGAGGCTGCGTTCTCCAAGTGTTCAGCGTCCTATCTTCAGCAGCTAAAGCGGGATCTGCTGGCTGAGGCTGTGTAGTGTTAGTGGAGCTCCGCTACTGTGATTGTCCCAATCTTCGTCGTTCCTCGTCAAGATCCAATCTCCCTGTCGCCA